GCTTAGCTCTATTTCACTCAGTTCCACCCAGCTGAACTCTATTTCACGCACTTCCACCCAGCTTAACTCTGTTTCACCCACTTCCACCCAACGTAACCCTATTTCACCCACTTCCACCTAGTTCTACCCAGCGTAACCTTAGTTCACCCAGTTCTACCCAACTTAACCCTATTTTACCCGCTTTCACCGAGCTTAACCCTATTTCACCCACTTTCCCCCAGCTTAACCCTACTTCACCCAGTTCCACCCAGCTTAACTCTATTTCACCCAGTTCTATCCAGCTTAAACCGGTTTTAACCACTTCCACCCAGCCCAACCCTATTTCATCCACTTAACACCCAGCTTAACTCTATTTCACCCGCTTCCATCCAGCTTAACCCTATTTCACCCGCTTTCACCGAGCTGAACCTTGTTTCACCCACTTTCACTGAGTTCTACCCAGCTTAACCCTATTTCACCTGGTTCTACCTAGCTTAACTCTATTTCACCCAGTTCTACCCAGCGCAACCTTATTTCACCCACTTCCATCCAGCTTAACCCTGTTTCACCCACTTTCACTCAGTTCTACTCAGCTTAACCTTATTTTACCCAGTTCTGCCCATCGTAACCTTATTTTACCCAGTTCTACCTAGCCTAACCCTATTTCACCCAGTTCTGTTCAGCGTAAACCTGTTTCAGCCACTTCCACCCAGCTTAACCCTATTTCACCCAGTTATACGTAGCTTAAACCTGTTTCACCCACTTCCACTCAGCTGAACCGTATTTTACCCAGTTCTACCCAGCTTAACTTTATTTCACCCAGTTTTACGCAGCGTTACCCTGTTTCACTCACTTCCACCGAGCTTTACCCTGTTTGACCCGCTTGCACCCAGCTGAATCCTATTTCACCCATTTCCACTGACTTCTACCTTATTTCACCCTTCTTAACCTTACTTTACCCAGTTTCACTGATTTCATCCACTCAAGTTACGAGGATTGCTTGACGTTATGATGGTGAAATCTGATTGGCTAAAAACAATTGGCCCATCAGACAGCAGACAAACAAAATAATTTCCGTGCCGCCAACTCATCCTTTCAGAATTGGGAATAGTATAGAAAAGTAACGCTCGTCGAAGGACTTACTCACTTCCTTCTCGTAGAAATTGCGTCGCTAAACAGCAAGGTAACTATTGGTTTATGTAATTAAGCAAAAAAGATGTCAGATTAGAATTGTCTGACTGCGACTACCTTTAAGTGAACCTGTATAAAAAAATGTGTTTTTTAAAAAAGTGATCGTTGGTTGTAAAAAAATTTAAAAAATTGGCAGTAGATTCTAATTAGTGAAGCGCAGATACACAAGCAAACAACTAAACAATGTATTCTAGCGAGATTGTTCTCTACGAGAGAGAGAATATGTGTGATGTATGAAAGTTTTGAATTATTTTCTATGTCATTTTCAGCATGAACTCTTGTGGCCCCCTGTAAAGTATATATGTATGAATGATAATGTGATAGTATCTATGGAATAGTTTAAAGTGCTAGTGTGAATATATGACAATAAGAATAAAAATATCACATTCATCTATATTTACAGATAATCAAGAATAGTATTAAAATCTATATCTATATGTAACTAGAAGATGAATAAATTATAATGAGATAATTATTAGTTATCTTAGAAGTAGCGACTATTGTTTTAGCATCTCTAAACAAAACCTAAACTGTATTTTTATATCAATGAGATATATATCGTATTTAGACGATAAATGTAGAATAGTTTATAACGTTATCTATATAGTAAAACTTTACCTTTGCTTATTTTATAAATCGAAGTTTTGGATAAGATATAATAGATTCCAAAATAATTATTGCGTTCAAATGTTACATGAACAAATGTTATTGTCTGAAATGGATGTATTCTTTCAAACTAACAGTCAACAATAGAAAGAGCTACTCATTTTATACACATTACCAGAGAGTATTTTTTTAAAATATAGAAAAAAAAATAGTTTCGGTATTTTTTTTATGAAGATTTTTTCTAATTGGTGGAGATGACGATGTTTTCCAGTTATTTTTTTCAACAAGTTTGAAAAAAAATATATCCAGATATTGTTTCCTAGGGTGCTTCTCTTTTTTTCTAACTGACAGAAAAACTATCCTTTTCCGTATACGACGATGTACAGCTGTCATATACGATCGTATATTATCATGCGCTAGCATCTACGGTGGCCGTATGTTCAGTTTTATGCCGTATATACGAAAACTACTGCGCAGTTTTATTAATTATGAATATGTTTTTTTAATTTAGTTTCTATATCAGATAATAAAAAACGAGCGAAAAGTACATTTTTATTTTAGGTCACTGAGTTATAGATGGATAAAACAGTAGAACTTCTCTCTTAATTTTGTTTTTTTCTTAGTTTGATGATTCTGATATAGAAATATCAATGAATAGGAAATATATTTGTTATTTTTATTTATTAGTCCTTGTTTTAAGTCATTTTTATATATACATCAATGAATAGTAGATCTTTTTTCCTTAATTTTTTAAGTTTAGATATTTGTGGTATAAATATTAATAAACTGTAAGTATATTGTTTTTTTTTATTTGTTATGTGCTTTTATTTTGAGTCATTGCTTTGTATTCAAAAACGAACGTTAAGTATTTTCATTCAATTTATTTCTTTTTATTTTAGATCATTGTTATACTACATGGGTGAACAGTAAGAATATTTTTCCTAGTTTTGTTTTTTTATTTTAGATTATCTTGATATAATAATTATCAATGAATAGTAAGTGTACTTATATTTTATTTATTATTTCCTTTTGTTTTAGATCATTGTAATAAAAACAACACCGAATAGTGAGTATATTTTTTATTTAATTGATTTTATATTTTAGTTTACTGTGTGTAAACATAAACGAACAGTCAATATAATTGGTTTTTAATATATTTATATCCAACGCCAGGTCGTGGTTATACGATATTTGGTCAAAACATGATCTTGTACGGAGTGTTAGACAAGTAAGATACTACTGCAATCAGAATTTATTGTTTAACATTCTATGAATATCTTATTATTGATACAAAAAAAATAATGAAATAATTTTTCTTTTCCAACAAGAAATAATAATTCAGTGAATATAATTGAATTGAAATGCTTGTAACTATGATGGGGACTTTAACTTTGAATAACTCAAATGGTAATAAATTATTAATTATAAAAGAAACAATTTTTGATATTTTTCCATTATTAAGAATTGTCCTTTATCTGTGTAGAAATATAAACGTGTAAGTGAGAAAAAATGAATGATACAATTTGACCAGATGTTAAATATCAAAGAAGATCAGGGGAAAGATAGTTTGGAGATAATTCAAAATATGAAAAAAAGAAAGAAAAAAAAATTAAACAAGTATGACGAAAGTAGAGAGGTGAATTAATTAGAAATAGTGTATTTTAACTAGTAGAAAATAAATAAGAGTAGTTTTATTTCAGAATGTCATAAAATATTTTGAAATCAACATTTGAATAAATATATAAAAAAAAAAGAAGATTATGTTAGTATTGTTACAAAGGATAAAAGTACAGTATTTTTCTTTGTTCTCTTTTTAATGATTAGTCAAATATCAAGTTTTTTATCTTATAAATATAACTATATTATGATACTTGTCACTTTTTAATATTTTCTATGATTATACAATTAACTGATTGACAAGATATTGTAGTGTTGTTATGCTTATTAACAAATATGATTGTGATTAATTTATACAATTTTATTACAGTGAAGATGTGATGCAGTTTCAAATCTAATAAATATATATACTCATGTTGTTCTTTAATATTGTATATCTCAATAAAATAATTGTAATAATTAAATGCTATTTATTTTCTTTTTTCATCTTTAAAATATATAATATTCTATTACAAAATATTGATAGAAAGATATTTTTATAGAAATGAACTATAACCTCTCGTTTTTATACATCACTCTTTATGTAAATATTCATCATAATAATATTTACATATCAATTAATCCTAATTTTTTGAACATTACAGATCGATAGTATTATTAAAACAATGTAGAAAAGTTATAATGAATAAGATCTCCAATAGATCGATTAAATTATATTAAAAATCAACATATTCGAATAGTTCATAGAATAAATATTCTGTATGTATTTAAATAATTATTATACTTTTATCTTTTAATCTATTTTAATATGATTAATCAACATATATTTGAAAGTTCTATAGTAATAAATAGAACTTTAGCTGCATTTTGTATTGTTCTCTTAATTACACTTACTTTATTTATTATTTTATTTATTCTACCATCATTATGACGTCGATAGCTTGTTCATAAAAAAAAAAAAGAAAGTAAAAATGTGAATCGACAACAGGTGCAACAACAACAGTAATTACTCAATTTGGCACATTATTTCATCCACAGGCAACAACAGCAACACTTCTTCATCCAACTATTTGAACATCAATGCTTCGACATCTGTTGTTTCTTTTAATCCTTCTGCAATTCAATTAGTATCAATACTATCTTCAACCATAATATTCTTTTCAAATTTTATGTCATTATTTTTGATATTATTCGTAATTAACACTTTTAAAATCAAAAAATAAATATCAATTATTTCTATTCTTGATGTAAATAAATTCTTTTATTACATAATTTTTTCATATCTCATATTCCATTGATAATAAAAAGGTAAGGATATGATTGTATTGCTTTTATCCATCGTACACCTGGAAGCTCATCCACATCCTCTAATATAATTTAATCTTTGTTGATTTTTCATACTAGATTAGGATTAATCCAGTACTAATTTTATTTACAAGTGAGCTAATATAAAGAACTAGACAATACATTAATAAAATTTGTTAATTGAATTATTCCAGGTGGATTCAACAATACAAGAACAAACTATCATACACATCTTATAAATGGTGGAGTAACTTATTTTAATAATAATTAATAAAAGATTGCGAAAGAATGTATACCACTTTGAACTTTAAACTATGATTGATAAATACTTCATTCTTTCAATTTTCATCTCTAAAATGTCTATAATACATAATAGAAGTACTCAACAAAGAAAATATCTTCATTCATACTCATGTAACATACAGAAAGTTTATTCGATAGAATAAACATTACATTATCAGCTGAAAAATAGTTGTAACTTTTTTTTTCGTTTACTCATACTCTTTGACGTATAATCAGACGTGTATATTCCATGACAACCATATGCATTTTTTTCTAGTTCTATTAATATAATAGAAAAGAAAAGGAATCATACAGTACATTTAACATATCTTATGGCAGGACAAGGTATTTTAATCATTATTATTCCAAATGATTTAAATAATGATGAACAAGAAAAATCACTTGATACAGGACAAGTAAAATTCTCAAAATGAATTATTTCTGTGGAAAAAAATTTCTTTAATCTAGATTAATCCATCTAATGTTGAACATTCAAAAGAATTTCCATGTTCTGTATGTAATCTTTCATTAGCATCACGTTTACGTTACCATATTAGTCCAAAATTAAATTTAATTGATGCTATTTGGGTAAAAATTCTCTACATATCATATGTATTCTAATTTTTTTCTTTATCATATATAGATACTTTCTGAAGATCATCAACATTTTTTTATAACTTGTTTTGCTGAATTAGGTCAACATTCAGATTTTATTCTTGAAGAATTACGTTTAGCTGAAATTGGAATTCGTCAAGGTTCAAAAGTATTTATTCTTGCATTATCATGTGCACTTGGAATTCAAAATCTTTCACCATTAGCTCCAACAGTCGCCGAAGTAACTGATGTAACGGACGAAATAAAAAATGTAGATGAATCTCAAAAATTAGAAAATACTGATAAAGAATTAAATGAACGACTTGGAATGAATCAAAGTAGTTTTAAACGAAGTATTCGTGCACGTTTAACTGTTTTACAAGTTGTTAATGCAATACGTGGACAGACATTATTTTCATTTGATTTTCTTCTCCTAACAATACTTGCATCAATTATTGCTTTAATTGGTTTATTAGAAGATAATTCTGTGTAAAACTAATACTCTTTTAAATAAAATATATATATATTAAAATATTTATATTTTAGAATACTTGTAGCTTCAATGTTAGTATCACCATTAATGGTAAGAGAAACAAAAAAAGGTATTTAATTAAAAGAAAAAAAAACGTTTTGATATAATTCTAGGGGCCAATATTAGGAATTGTTTTTGGTTTATGTATTGGTGATTCAAAATTATGGAAAGTTGGATTAAAAACAGAAGCAATTGGATTATTTGTTGCGATATTAACAGGATTTATTGTTGGGCTTTGTACAACATGGTCAGAAACAAAATGGGGTTCATCAACTTCATTTCCAACAAATGAAATGCGTTCAAGGTAAGATTGAAATTTAACATACAACGTTTTTTAATTATATTAAATATAGAGGTGATATTCGTCGTTTATGGGCTGGTGCTCTTGTTGCTTTACCGTCAGGAGCTGGTGCAGCTCTCAGTGTTCTCGCTGGTAATGTTGGAAGTCTTGTATGAATCTAATTAACAAAATTTTTATAAATATTAACTAATTGAATATATATTTAGGTTGGTGTAGCTATTAGTGCAAGTCTTTTACCACCAGCTGTAAATGCTGGTCTACTCGCAAGTTATTCATTATTATCGGCATTAGTACCATCTATTGGAAAACAATCATCGATAATTCAAGTTCATGAAAAAGTACATGCACTATCAACAATTGCTAAAAATTGTTCAAATTTTATTGGAAATGATTATACACCTGTATATTCATGTCGTATGGCAACTGATGCAGGTTTACTTAGTATATGTTCATTTGTATTAACAATGACAAATATTGTTTGTATTATAGGTAGAAAAATAAAATTTTTATAATAGATATGTAATATGATTATTCTTCTTTTCAAATAGTTGTAGCAATGATTATATTACGAATAAAAGAAGTTGTACCCATTGTACGTGATGATGAAATCGGTATTATAAATTTATTTCATTTATTTTATTCATTAAATTGTTTTTTTTTCTTAGCGGAATTTTGGCATAATGATGTTCGTATTGTACGTGGTCAAAATAAAAAAATACATCATCATGATGTTAGTGGCCTTTTTAATTTGTGGAAAGAAATAGCTGATACTAATCCAACAGTATTGTCTAATGAAGAAGTCAATCCTATTATTGAAACTAAACAATCGAAAGTTCCATTGAAACATCGGGATAAATCAGATATAATTTTAAGACGTAAACTTAAAAATTTACAAGAATTTGCTAATGCATATAATTTAAATCTATCTAATACTGATGATGTATTATTATTAAATAAGAATGCACGTAAAAATGTTGAACGTATGGCTAATGATATACTAGCAAGTATAGATGAAACAAATCAAATTAATTTAGGTAGTTTTGTTGCACAAATGAGTGGTTATAATCGTGTATCTTTAACTCGTGTTCGTATGCAAACCTTTTATCAAGAATTACTTGATGTAATGCCGCCAAAATGGAAAGAAGTATTTCAAGAATGTCAAGAACAATCAAGATGATTATAATTATATTTTAGTTTCTTAGATCTTTTTTTTTTTGTTAAAATATTTGTGTATAGTAGACTATTTGATAAATAAACTCGCAAATTTCTTTTTTATAATACACTTTATAGTTTTGATGTTGGAATATTTATTTTTTCTTTAGGTATGTTAAATCATAAGACAAAAAGAAAACAAAGGTTAGTTAAATCAATCATGAAGAAATGCGAGTCATCATAGTTAAATTTGTGATGTGAACAATCAGTCGGTTTTTGGTAAGTTTTTTACAACAAATGCACTTACATCGTCCATTTCCTATATTTAAAATCTTTAAGAAAATTATATTATGAAAAAAAATTTTACCTGATCACATGATGAATGACCCATATTTCTATATTCTTTAAAAGTATATTGTTTAAAACCCATTGCTTTTATTCCTTCTTCGGTAAGACGAGCCCATCTTAATTGAACCATTGGATCTTCATCACCTAAATTATAATAATAATCAATAATATTGCTTTATTCATTTTTATAAATACCATGGCATTGAAGAATAGGTAGATTCATTTTTTTATCACCAGATATCAATGCCTAATAAAAGCAATTACAATCTATTTTATTAAATTCTACAAGGCAAACCTTTGGGAATGTTGTCGATAATGGAAGCCATGTTGATAAAGCCAAAACACCACCAAGTGTATGAGGCGAAGTTAATGCTAAATAAAAATAACTATAAAAACATAATAAAAAAAACGTAAATTCTACTACCTGCATGAATGGCAACGGCACCACCCCTTAAATCATATACAATTGTTTAAATAAAAGTTTAAATTTAACTATAAACTTACATTGAAAAACCACCGACTATCTAAAAGAAATTAATAAAAAAAATTAATGTCAATTTCATTAACTTACTACACGTTCTGCTGGAATTCCACTTTTTATTTCTTCTTCAACAAGATCCTTTACTAAAAATAACAACAGAGAAATCAATAAAAAAAATTCTAAAGGAAAATCATACATAATTTTGATGACTTTTCGATGCCTTCTTGATCTTCTTTCGCATTTTGATCAAGACCATGAATATCAAACCCTAATTTTTAGAGAAATAAATTTTCAACAAAAGGAAAATAATTTCATAGACAAAGTTTACAAGTTGGCATTGGCATTCCCATATTCAATGTAACTCTTTGGACCGGACTATTCCAAAAAAAGGCAAATCAATGTTACATTCTTAAATTTAATTTGAACTTACGCATTTGGAAATATAAATTTTACATGCGGGGCTGCTTTTGCAATTCGATACATATTAAATGCGTCTTGCCAACTTGACCTTTAATAAATCTATTCTTAAGTTTAAATAAAATATAAAACATCAATTCATACCCAACATCGCCGAGACCATGTAAGAAGATTAACTAAATAATTTAAGAAATATTTCAATCAATAAAATATCGACAAAATCTAACTTACACTAGCCGTATGTTTAACAGTTGCAGGAATAACAGCTGCTGCTTTACTCATCTTAAAAAATTTAATCTTTCAATGATCTAAAACAGATATATACATCTGAGATGTTTAATTAACAAAAAATATGAAAATTCTTTTTATTAAATAATACAAAATAATTTTATGTATTTGTCTTAGGTAGATGTTGATTGATGAATGCGACAACATCTTTGATTTCCTAAATTTTATAATAATATTTCAATAGAAAATATTCATAGATTTAATTCTAATTACTTCATCATTTGATGTATGCACCATTCCTTGATATTCTTTAAATTTATATTGTTTAAATCCCATTGATTTAAAAAGTTCTTCTGTCATCTGACCCCATCGCATTTCAACGACTGGATCTTTATTTCCTATTAAAAACAAAAATTATACATACATAATTCGCATTTCTAATATACCATGACATTGAAGAATTGGTAAATTCACTTTTTTATCACCAGATACAAGTGCCTAAATAAAAAATCATTACTTTAAAGTTTATTTAACGACATTACTAACTTGTGGAAAAGTCGATGATAATGGAAGCCATGTTGATAGAGCTAAAACACCGGCTAGTACATGAGGAGTTGTTAATGCTTAAATAAATATTAGTATAAGAAATAAAAAACAAAGAAGAATATGTGTTCATTACTCGCATGAAGAGCAGCTGCACCACCTCTGAAGAATAAAATCAGTGTTGTTGAAAAATTTGAATCTCTTGAAAACTTACTGTGAAAAACCACCAATTATCTATATATAAAAATATTAATATCGAATTTAATGAAACATTATTTACGTACTATACGTTCTGCAGGAATTCCTTTATCGATTTCATCTTGGATTAGATCATTGACTATATGAATACAATTGAAATCATTAATGAATTCGAAGAGAAATATCTTTACAATATTTTGATGATTCTAATATCCCTTCTTGATCTTCTTTTGCACTTCGATTAAGACCAAATGCATCGAACCCTTTTTTTTTAAACAAATATATCCATGAAAAATATTTATATTTATCTATATTAACTTACAACCAGTCATTGGGTATCCATTATTCAATGTTATCTTTCGAATAGGACTATTCAGACAAAAAAATAAGAGCATAAGATCAAGAATATTATAATTATTCGTTACTTACGCTGTTGGAAATATAAATTTCACATGTTGCATATCTTTTGGAATTTTGTAAAATTTGAATGCCTGAAGCCAACTTTCTCTAAAATGAATAGAATTGTATTCTATTGAAATTAGTTAATTCTATTTTAAGAAAGAAATTAACCTTTAACATTCATAAATAAATATTATTTCCTAACGCTTAATTCATGACATTAAAACGAAATGTTACAATAGTTATTAAATAACTAATAATTATAAATGTTAAATTAATTTATCTATATATCAGAGACGAATTCTTATTTTTTTTGTGAAACTTATCAGATTCTCTTACCCAACATCACCAAGACCATGGAAAAAAATTAACTAAAAAATGCATACAATAAATAATTTAATCATAAATTGTTTTTTTGCAATTGTTTACACTAGCAGTATGTTTATCAGATGCTGGAATAATTGCAGATGGTTTATTCATTTGAATTGATTTAACAATTTTTTTTTCTGCGTGTAATATTGGTCTAAACGAATAGATTTAAAGCTTAATACATAAAAATATGTCAACATACGACGAAACCCGTGATATAGAACGATAAAATATACTTCCGAAAATGGCTAAGCCAATCGTCGCCATAAAGAAGAGAAGATTCGTACCCCAAGCCACTATTTTTCGTTTTCCTTACAGATTACTGGATTTAATAGTAAATATAAAAAACAACAAGAACCAATGTATCGTACGACACAAAATAAATTTCATTGGTTACAAATAGACAAATAAAAAATCTCGGGAATAAATATGATATTCAAATGCAAACGAAGTTTTTACTCGTATAATATACCTATTCACGTGTTACATATTATGAAATTTTATAGATTTTTCAGTAATTTATTTATTAAAAGGAAAAATACATAATATAAACTATTCAAAATGCAGAATTAATTTTCGAGGATATAGCATTATTGTCTTTAGTAGAGTTATATCATGTTATAAAGGAAAAAAATAAATGAAAGAAAAATCATCCAGTTTGAAAAATAATTAAATAACTGTGAACTATTCGACAATATAGATTCATGATCAGCTTCACGCTGTTTACTTTGATCAGGCAAGCGTGTATGAGTGGTTAATCGTGATGATGTCTTACGCGAAATACGCGTTGATAATGTAGTTGGATGAGTGCAAATTATAAGTTCTTGTGGTGGTGTATTTGACACAGGCGATCGTTGCGGAGATGGTTGAGTATTAGTGTCATATTGTTGCTGTGGCTGTGGTGGTGGTGGTTTATGTGTAACAAACGACGGTTGTTGTGGTGCATGATCATAAGTATCATGTTGTTGTGGTGGATTATGTTGAACAGGCAATGGTTGTCGCCATGGATATCCGTAAGGATCATAGTGCTCTGATCTATGCGAGTCAGGTAATGATTGTTGCGATGGGTAATTATTAGTTTCGTACTGTTGTGGTGATGTATGCGAGTCAGGCACTGATTGCGGTGGTGCATGACCATAAACTGGTTGAATTGGAAATACGTTTGGCATGTCAACAATTGTTATAGTCTTTCCAGGTTGATTATTGCAACGATCTGTATAGCAACATGTTAAACTGTGATATATTTGTGGTTGACGCATCATTTCTTCACATTTAGCATACGATGTCCATCCGTGATGCCACTTTATTGTTCCATTTTGTCGATCAATATCGGTACATCGCGAAACATGATTAGATCCTCGTGATAAACTACTACATGCACTTTGATAACTAAAACAAGCACAACCGATTTTGGAACATGGTTCGTTAGCTACTTCATATCGTGTAGTTTCAGTTTGATGATATTGATGACCAATCACAGTATTTGATCCTTTAAGTATAGTATCTTCAGATTCATATCTCGTATAACAGGTTATTGAGGAATTAAATTGATTTTGACTTGAAACTTGTGAAATAATAAGAAATGTCGAGATAAATATAAACTCGATCAAGACACGCATTTCTCGTATCGATATGTTTAACAAACGTGTAAACAACAGATCTATTATAATAATTTGTCGCGTACTAGCTGCAATATATATTATTTATCATTCTTTCTTCTCCGTTCTTCATACTTCCCGTCCAATTAATGATAAAGAAAAAAAAATAGAACCTTATCAATTGCAGAAAATAATGAGAAGCATATAAACATAACTTTAGTGCTCTATTTTCTCTATTTATAAGACTACCCTTTATAAAAAGAAGACATCCTTTTGACTCATAATAAATATACTATCTTCAGCTGTTATTTTTATCCTTCATACATAATGAATTCTTGTATTTCTTCAGTAGAATATACATGAAGAACGATCACTAACGACCTTTTTCGATCATATTAGATAAAGTCTCCAGATGTCTAATATATATATATATATATATAATCTAACGCAAATCGGCTATAAGATATCATAAACAAGGTTAATCTTCATATAATCATCAACAATAGATCTTCGTTTAATTAAAATATATGATTAAATATGTAAAAAGAATGTTGAGTTTATTTCGAAGAAAAAAAAAACATACAGAAACATAAAATATTTTTATTTAATGAAATTTTTCTTCTATTCACCACCTTCTTGTTCACGAATACAATGTAAACCTATTTGAAACAAAAGTTTTAATTCAATTTCAATATATATTTATTCTTACCATCAAGTTTTTTCAATGGTTTTAAACGTTTTTGAACTTCAGCTTGCCAAATTTCTTGTTTACCATCATTATCTTCTAAGAATTTTTCATGTAATGGATTTCCGGTAAAAACTAATTCTTGAAGTGTTTGTAATTCTGCCTAATAAGTAAATTTTGTCAAATGCAAAAGAAGAACAATATTTCTCTTACTAATTTTGAAAATTCAGCCCATTCTTTAACGATATTATTACTCATGTAGAGTACTCGTAATTTTTTCATACCACCAATACCTTTTAATTTCTCAATTTGATTATAGGATATCCATAATTCTTCAAGTGTATCACTAACAGCTTCCTAAATAAAGATTGAATGAAAATAAAAAAAAAAAACAAAATGAAAAATTATTTACCAAACCAACAAGATTTTTTATTAAATTTCGGCCAAGTGAAAGAATTTTTAAATTCTCTAAAATTTTTTTTTTTTAAAAGTAATATATATCAAAGTTTTCTTCTTACTTAAACCATTAAGATTAGCTATTTTTTCAATCATATTAGTTGATAATGATAATTTTCTAAAAGATATGATAAATATCAAATAGATTAAGTTTATTTTTTCCTCATACTCGCAAGCAGTTAATGTTGAAATTGATGCATCCATTTTATCAATTGGTGGAAATTGTCCATAAAGTAAAACTTCTTTTGATTCATTTGGTTTCTGTTGTGTTTTTTCTTCCTAAAGAAAATTTTAACTCGTTTGATTCTTTTTTTGTCAAATGTTATCTTACCCATTTTGCCAATGCTTCTTTTGTTGTCATAGTTGATTTCGCCTATATTAAACATTATTTTATTTGAAATAAACGAATTATTTCTTACCATAATGAGATTTTTTTAGATTAGATTATTTTTATTGAGATCTTTACAATAAAAATGCTTAATGAATGTGTATATGAATGAAGTTTTGATGTTATACCATTCAACTTGACCGTTGTTTTGGATACAACCTCAATGGATAAATAAAGTTTTTTGGGAGATAATGTAAAAAAAGAAATTATTAATTGAAATTAAAAATCGAAATTATCTTAATATAGAAAATAGTAAAGTTTTAAATTATTTTACCCATTTAGTACGGACATCTGTTGATAGAATGCTTTATCAATGAACTTGTGATTGAGAATAATAAGTATACTTCATGTATACTGTATCTCTCTATTTGGCGAGAACAAAGATTTAGAGGCGAAGACACACAAGGTACAGAAATTTCAAAGAAATGAATAATTCAAGAAAAGATACCAACTGATTAAGTGGAAAAATCATGGGAATATTCAATTTTTATTGCCGACTTCATGACTTACTGAACATTTTATACATCAACGACTCGTCTACTATATATCATAAATGTTATACTAAGTGTGACGTTTACTAGTTTAAACTATATTTCAAATGATATGAGAGATAATTTCGCGTTTGTTTTGTGGTTTAGCATGGCAATACATCACGTTCTTTGTTGCCTAGATATATATAGTACGAAACAGCGTAACGAAAAAATCATTTGAATTTTTGAAAGATAACAGAAATTCTAACTTAAGCAATCAGTTATAAACTTTCTCGAAATGTTGGATAATAGAGTTTTTATCTTCAGTTAAAGAGACATATAGATATTATTAAATTTTCAAAGAAGATTAAATTTAAAAACTGGTTATAACTGTTTGGGACGTTCAATCTCAGAATACATTTTGATGTTTTCTTTTTGCGTGGTGAAACTATTTATATGGTAATAATCTGACATATGCAAGTTTGCTATATAGAATGCACTAATAGATGAAGTCGGTCAGCTTGACTCATTTGAAGACCTATGAGGGAAAAAGAACATACCATGAGAATTAGGTCGGTAAATTCTATAAACTCGTAATAATCCCATTTAAAGCTGTCAATCACCCTTGAGTCTTTTTCCGCGTGGAAAGATCGAAAAATATTTTATTTGAATATAATTATAATTTTGTATGTTTACTAAATAACCTGAAATCTTATATTAACGTCAATAAGTAGTAAATTTCACAGATTTTTAATGAGTTGTCTTACAGCTATTGAAACATTATCTGACGACGAGTGAATTTATTATTTTTTTTATTTTTCTAATTACCATTTAACAATATTTACTTTTTTATAGAGTTAAACATTTATCTTTATTAAATATCTTATAAAATAATATTTCTTTTTTTTCTTTCTACATTTTATAAATAGATAATGATATAAGTATGTGAAAGTATTCTTATATATCAAGTATATTAAGAGTATACAAAAAAAACAACATTATTTTTTACTCTTTATGACCACGTGTGAAACTTCTTATCTTTTTTTCTTTTTGTTATTTTGTCTTAAATACTTGTAAAAAATATGAATGTATTCTTTTCTCTTGTTACGATGAATAACTGACAAAAATAATTTATGTTCTGTGTTTTCTTTTTTCTTCTTTATATTTACAGTTGAAAATATCGTTACAATTTCAATCGTATCGTAACGTGTCAATATGATTTGTATTACAAAAATATCCAAATATTTCGTATGTTGCAATCTATAGTGTTAAAACGAACAAATTATACTGATACCACTATAATTATCGTAATGATGGACAAGTAAATAGAAAAGAAATAGTCAAAATATGATCTCATTGTAATATTTAGTTTCTTATATACATATCGATTAGATTTGATTGGAATGAAATGAAAACAATCTTGTAATTTACACAGTTATTTTCTTTCTGAAATAATTAGTATAGAAAAACAACATGATGTAAAAAGGCAACATATGTTTACTGAGTATGCTTCAATAAAAATCATAACCATTGAAAAAAAGTACTATGTTATTTTTTTTTTCTTTTTTTTTTTTTACTAAAAGTAAAAATAGTAAATTGAATATGTATGATATGTCTCGTTTTCATTTACGTCTATTGCTTTTTTTTTTGTATGTTATGTTGAATTTTTTTCTTGATTAAAGGTTATTAATTTCTATTTTCATTATAGTTTACAAGAAACTTTTGATATAAATGAAGAAAATTAATTTCAAATTTATAAGAACTTCTATGCAATAGTGATAATAATGGACAAACGGAATCAATATTCATTTAAATCGGTAGGCGAATTATTTTAACAAGCAATATAACTATATTATGAAGCAACACAAGGTTAAATTTTTGTTGATATTTTCTTTCCTTCAAAAATACATAAAAAAGAAAAAGTCAGATAAATACAAATACTTTAGTTTCTGTCAGTTTAATGTGAAGTAATACGTTGATGAGATATGCAGGTAAAAAATTATGTTAAGTAATCCTTTTTACTCGAAAAAAGAGAAAAAACAAGCTGAATGATATAATCTTCTCCTATTTGTACGCCCCCTACCCATTGAGTTAAGAAAGCATTACTATTCGATCATTCTCATCGTATATATTTGCTTCCTTTTCTTTTTTTATTATATTCTATTCATCTTATCCGTCTCTTGCACAATCTTTATAAGTGTTGACGAATCTCATTTTGTTACGTTTATTACCCAGTTGGATAGAAAACGATTACTTGAAAAGTATTTCTGGATATCAACAGATAAAACAAACAACAGCATTTTTTTTTCTCTTTCCTTATGACATGTTTTCCTACTTTAACTTCCTACTATTCTCCGAAAACCAAATTGCCTTGTATTAATAATGCCTTCTATATATAAACAATGAATCAGGAAAAAGACGAAATAGTTACAATGGACGACGAGGTGAGAATTTTACAAGAAAAAAAATACCTCGATTATATCTAATATGAGTTTTATCATTATAATTATTTGATTTGTTTTTAATATCATTAGAATAAAGATGTCGGTGTTACCAGTGAAACAACAACGAACAGTGGTTCAAACAAACATCCAGCAGAAACAGATGATGATGAAGAAGATGAACCAGTTTATATTGAATCAAGTCCATGTTCTCGATGGCAAAAACGACGTGAAACAGTATGTATTAAAAAAAATTCTAATAAAAATTTCAATATTTTCTTTAGGTTGCTCAACGTGATATACATGGTATTGATGCATCTTATTTAGCAATGGATACAGAAGAAGGTGTCGAAGTTGTTTGGAATGAAGTTTTATTTTCTGAAAGAAAAATTAGTGATGTTCAACATGTAAAAAATAAAATTTTGATTTTAATATAAAATTTATATTTTGTTTTTTGTCTTTATAGAATAAAATTAGTGAAGTTTTTGATAAATTAATTGAATTAAATCATATGAATATTGTTAAATTTCATGGATATTGGCAAGATCGTACAATCAATGATGATCGCCAACGAGTAATAGATCTATTTTCTTTTTAAATTTAAAAATAGTTTTATTATTTTTTCCTAGGTTGTTTTTATAACAGAATACATGTCAAGTGGCTCATTGAAACATTTTTTACGTAAAACAAAAAAAGCTAAACAAAGTTTATCAAAAAATTCTTGGAGACGTTGGTGTACACAATTATTATCAGCACTTAAGTACGATTTGAATTTTTTTTTGATTAAACTTTAATCAGTAGATTAATTAAAAATCTTTTCATGATATAAAAAAATATTCCAAGTAATCAAGTAGAATAAGAATTTAATGCTTTTAGGAGGACTTATGGATGATTACTTACGAGTAAATACGGCTTATTTTATATCGTTTGCATCACGTGAAATAAGCTTTTTCTATTCATTTATGATTTCTTTGAAAAGAATAGAATTTAATTTCTAAGAAAATAATAAATATTTTCAAGTTTTCCGTACTTGACATACAATAGATATTAATTATTTATAGTTATATATAAAAATTAAATTAAATAGTGAAATTTTGCTTAATAAACAAACGTATTTTCATATATATCGAAATTTTAATTTACCTGATAAATAGAGACATATATCGAAATTCAAGATTAGATTCAGATCTATTAGCTTTCATTAATTACTTGGAATGTATAGAATATGATTAGGAAATTATTTGAAAACCTATAAAATACATTCATTTTTTTCTAGTTATTTACATTCTTGTGAAGAACCAATTATTCATGGTAATCTAACATGTGATACGATATTTATTCAAAATACTGGTCTTTTAAAGATTGGATCAAGTAAGTTTCTTTATTTCAATTATACTTCTATTAATATATATTAGTATATAACTAATTAATCTTAATCACTTATGTATCTATAGTTCATTTTCCACAGTTGAAAGCATTTGCTGATGTGGGCATCGGTAGGTTGAATTGTTTAATATAGCTTCTGTTTCTTCTGCTTATTGTTATTTTTGTTCTGTATGTAATTCTGCTATGCACTAGTTTCGAAATGTTTAATTGGGAATATTATAAATAAATTTCTTATATTTATATAGTTGCTCCGGATGTGTTACATCGCCATGTGAAACGTATTACAGATTCAGCAGCAAAAAATTTACATTTTCAAGCACCGGAAATTAATACAGGTCTATATATATATACATAAGAAAGAAGAATACCTAGGAAAACTAGTTCGTATATTTATTTTAGAATTAAATCATATTACAGCAGCCGTAGATATTTATTCACTTGGAATGGTTACACTTGAGGTGAATATTATTTAATTTATTTTTATAAGATTAATTACAAATAATTGATTTATATGTCTAAACTTATTTAAACTCAATAGAAATATAAACTTAGATTCAATTTGATAAGCTCGATTTCTTTTTGTCATAGACATAATTCATACTTGAAATGTCAGATCAAGATAAAATACGCATCTATCAAGATTTCTCGATAAGTTTACAATCATTTTGTATTCACTACAAGCTAAATGATGTAATATTCATTTCATATATATACCGATAAATAAATTTGATCTAGTTTTTGAACGATATAGAAAAAAGTAATAATAATTATGATGAATAATAAGAAGATATTTTTTGTTTAGATGATAAATCTTGATCTTGGTGGAAATGGTGATATACATTCAGTGACAGATGATGTTGTGAACGAAGCTATTCAAACACTTGATAATCCCATTCAAAAGGTTAAATATGGAATTATGAATAAAAATAATTTTACTTTTTTTCAAAATAGGATCTTATATTAAAATGTCTTGAACCCGATCCAATAAAACGACCAACAGCACGTCAATTACTTTTTCATCCAGCATTATTTGAAATTCCTTCATTAAAACTTCTCGCGATTCATTCATTAGCTGATGATATTCGTAAAAGAAATATTGATAATCATATCTTTATTTATCTTTTTTACTCAAAGGTTTAAAACCAGATCGTTCATTTGTTTCTCCAATTGTTACTCCAATATCAAATGAACAAGTCTTTGCTGAGCTAGAATCAAATCGAGATGGTGTTAAACCAGTTATTTATACGTAATGAAAATCTTTTTGTTTTCATTTGATTAATTTATTTTGTTTTAGTTACAAAGACTGCCCATCCTTGGATCTAGATAAATTACTTGAAGATGTTCAAAGTGGTTTATATCCAATAACAGCCTATCATCTTTTATTTCCTACACAAAGTTCAGTAACAGTACCAACACGAACAAATATATCGGATAAAATTTTAACATCATCAACATCATCATTATCATCACTAATATCAACAACAACAGAAAATGATTTACAAACTCCTGTACAAACAATAACAGATTCATCCATATTTCTTGCAAATCATATTAATGATACAAATTCATTGATATCAAATCAAGAAAGAACAACTTCATTTATTAATGATATTGAACATAATCGTCGAGAATCTATATCAGTATCAACAGGAAATACTAATAATACTAACAATAATACGAATAATAGTCATCATCATCATCATCATCATCATCCACTAATAATACCAGATGAAAAAGAAAATCGACGTATTATCGATATACAATGTAAAATCAAAACAAAAGAAACTGGTTTATGCTTAGTAAAAACAAAATTCATTTTTTATGAAAAAATAATTTTTTGAAACTTAAATTATTTTAGTTAGTTATTAGTGTAAAATTTCAAGATCGACTACAACGTGATATGACTGCAGAAATAGAACAAGATGAAACACCTAATGGTATTGCGAAAGAATTATTAGATCTTGGTCTAATTCATGAGGTAATTCATCAAAAATATTACTCGTAAGATGAAAAATCAAATATATATTTATATTTAGAATGATTATATACGAGTTGAACAATCTATTGATAAAGCATTTCATACAACAATAACATCACCAGATGTAATAAATGGAACATCAACATCATTACTTGATGTAAAAAAAACAGCTGTAGTAGCTGCGACAGCAGCATTGATAACAGCACAAGCATTACAAAATCAAATGAATACAACGCCAACAAATGGAACAATCATCAATGGAAATAATACAACAACAAATACGCCATCACAATCAGTAATGTTTTTACCGCCTTAATAGAAAATAAATAAATAAAATAAAAATCAAAAAGAAAAAGAATTTTTTATAAATCGGTGCTAACATTTTTTTTTATTTGTATAGATTTTGTTTTGTATACGCTAAGCGATTTGTTCACTACATATATATGTCAAAACCACACGAATGTTTTTCTTTCTTTTTTAATAATTTATTCATTCTTATTGTCCTTCGATGTATGATTAATGGTCAAATTGACCTATCTTTTTGTCCTGATTTCTATATCGTATATATCACGAGATATACTTGTCGTCCTTCTTTTTTTTCGTCTTTGATGTTTATTTATTTTTGTCTACATATGTTTATATGTTTAAGTAAAGTCAGAGAAACAAATGACATGGACATTTTTGCACTATTAGCCGTTGATTTTTGTAAATGTTTGTAATCAATAAGTCATGAATGAATATAATTCAATGGACTAGTGAAAATATAAACTCATATCTATTCGTCAAGACAAATTATATGTTGAATAAAATGGATACTATATATTGTTATTGGGTTATCCGGTCAATTTTCTGTTGTTTTCAAAAAACATATCAGTTGATAATATTATTATCGTATTTTGATACTCTTTACCCTTTTGCAAGCTCTGATATCAATACCTAGATTTATGATAGATATTGATATGATAAAAGCTTATAATACAAACCATAGTTTTCTATTTCAATGATACATAAGTTCATTTTTGTAGGAATTTATTATATATGTTAGATGATCAATATCAATTTATTGATTAGTCATGTAATGTATCATTTATAATTGGGTATTAACATTCTCTAAATTATAAGTACTTATACATTTGTCGAGGGAATGAAGAGGATTTTATTAATTTTAATATAAACCGATTATAAAAATAGTTTTTAAATGGATCAGCTTAATCTGATATTAAAGTATTGAATTTTATAACTGGAATATTTATATGAGCACGTGAATTTATAACAAAAAAAAATGGATGAGTAGAATTCAATCAGTTAAAATAAACTTAATAAGTAATTTCTATTTTTTTATTAATCCTACGTCCCTTAATTATGAAAAGGGCGTTATGTACAACAATATCAGTCATAATAAAAATACGATTGCTAAGAAACATGCTTATTGAACCATATAATAGCGTATTCAACGATAAACGATCATGTATAGTCTATATTCATTGACCTGATTTAATTTAACTGTATGTGTATATATTGATAGCTAATGTATACTATTGTCAAAAGATGGTTTGTATTGTTTTGATAAATTATTGTCACCAATTATACGATCGATTAGACTACCTTGATAAAAAAATCACATAAATTATTTTCATATCTAATAATCATTTATATATTTTTGAATAAAATCATCTCATTCTTTCGACACGTGTCTTGTATATTGCTAAGAAAACATTCAATAATATTCATAAATATATATATTTTACTATTTATCAGGTAATTTCAAACAATCATTCTCTTTATTAGTGAATAGTATCAAGCGTTACGTGCTTTTTGTTTTGTTCTATCTTTTCAAAAAAATTTGCTTTTCTATCAATAAAAAAATACTAATGGCAGTCGGAAACCAATCAAGCGTATTGTCGTTGTATTTCTATTGGGTCTTTTCATCGTTGCTATATACATCAAACAATTATCAAACACAGAACAAAACTCGATGCTGGTTCTCTAGTTCAATTTGTTGAATATAAAAAGAAGAAGAAGAAAAAAGTAATATAAGTAAGTAGTCACCATTACAATACTGTCACGCTTTTAATATTTTTCTTTTTCTCTCTTTTTTTTTTCTTCTTTTCTTTTATTAAACACGACAAAAAAAAGAAGGCGCTTACATTAAATGATATTTCTTAATCAAGCTGTAAAAGTTATTCTTCATAGATTAAAATCTATCGATTACAACAATACTTTTTGAAACATAATATCATATCCAAAATGACTTTATTTTACAAAAAAAATCAGTGTATTCCATTCTTAATACAAAATGATATCTTTAACAATGTAACATAATTTATAATCAAATGAACAATCTGACTAAATTATCTGTTCATTATGCTGATGCTCTAATTATTTACTCATAAGCAGTATGTTTATTTTTTATGACTGGAAAAAAAATATATGAGAACAGAGAGGAAGAAGAAGAAGAAAAAAAAGCCTCGCTCTTTCAAAACTTCAATTTTTTCTTCTTGCTTATTCGTCCTTCACATAATTTCTTCTGTTGACTAACGAACGCTTTAAACATACGCATACGTATATATATAACTCATTCTTCTTTATTTAAAAAGAAGAAAAGACTTCATACACATATAAATAATTATATTTTATTTTTTTAGAATATATTTATTAGAAATAATATGCGACGTATTTCACCACGTTCATTATTATTATCTATTGGAATATCATTGATTTTATTTGTAATTATTTTTATTGTTAATCATCGTTCAATTGATGTAGAAGAGCTGCCGATTAAATGCAATTGTCCAACTGTACCAGCACAAACTCTGCCAACTATAAATAACACAATTTCAATAATAAATACAACAAAAATAGAAGCAGTAACGATTCAAAAAGTAAATATACCAACTATTGCTCCAACAACAACTTTACCACCGCTTCCTCCGTGTAAACCAGTTGAAAAAAATTCATCCGTTCAACGAGCTATAATTATTTATTATCCACATCATCAAAGTGAATATTTCTTTCCGGAAGTTCGATGGTATATAGAAATACATAATTAAGAAATTCAAAATCATGGGTTTTTTTGTTTCTATTTAGGTTATATCGTTCATGGGCAGAAATGTTACGTAGTCAACCGCCAACATGGCGTACAGATTTTCTTATATTTACATATAATTTTTCGGCTGAATTTCGTAGCCTTGGATGTATTAATCGTATTCGTGAAAATAAACAAGAACCATCTGTTTGTCGCATTTTTCTTTATGTACCTATACAATTTCGTACGCCAAATATTACAAAAAATAATTTTGAAAATGCATTTTCTGATGCAAAAAAAATCGCAAAACTTTATAATGATAGTGTAGAACAAATGGTTACTATACCTAAAATAAATGATCCAGAAACATTTGATCTTAAACGTTCAGAATCTCTATATAATAATCTTCGAACATATGGATATATTGATTCTATTAATACAATTTATGAAGGTTTTAGTACATTTAAAATGTATGATTTTGTTTTAAGAACCGATATTGGTAAATACATACATATATTAGTGATTATAATGTTCAAAAAGTAACTATTTTTATTTAGATGTTTTTATTTATCGTCATTTTGGAACATATATTCCTCAAAATTGTACTTTAATAACCGGTGGTGGTGGATATGGAACAAATTTTAATCGAAGAAAATTAAAACGTATTGCTCATGATATGGGTTTTTCACATGTTGAAATGTCTGGCATGGGTTCAACATGGTATAGTTTATATTTATTCTATAATTGATTATAAATGATGTTTTTATTTTAGGTATGGTTCAGCTCGTGATGGATTTTTAGTTGCGAATCAAACATTACATGGAATGCTTTGGTTAGCAGAATATGAATTTGCTCAACCAGAAAGAGAATCAAAATTAGGCACACTAATGTGGCCTGAATGGTAAATTTGTTTTTTTGCTCTAGAATATATTGCAAGTAGTATCTTGTGAGATGAGACAGGAACTTTTGGACAAATTTCGATAGTGTTTAGTAGGTGCAGATTGATTACGTTATTCTTATTTCTATAAAACATCGCCGATTCTATTAAAAATTAGAAGATATCATGTGAAAAGCTTATTATAATTGTTTTCAAAAGAATAAAAAGAAATGCGACTAGACCACTTTTCACATGGCTCAAATTTGATTGCTCCATATTTTGTTGGTTTTGAAAACAAAGCACTTAAACTAGAAAATAAGTGGTTTTATGATGATTGTAAAAATTTTTACGATGCAGCTTCTGATATATTGTACTTCTTAATAAAATGTAAAGCGCGATCATTCATCCACTATCAAATGTGTACTTCATTGCTTTGAGATTCAATAGTTTCTTAGAATAAAATATAAAGTACCAATGATTTTGTGTTATTGTAATTTTAATTCAATAGGCATTATGGTGTCTTACTTTTATATGGTCAACATTTAGCAATAAATCATTTAGTTGGTCAAAATCAAATTCGAGTGATAATTGGTCATAATCTTCTTGATCAATCATCAACAGATCCAAGTCCGCAATATGTACAACAAGGTATTCGTTTAAATCTTCATTGTTGGCATACAGATAATCGTTTTTCGAAATTTGCTTTTAAAATGGGTCATTATAATAAAACAGAATTAGTTAAATATCAAAATGATACAACAGCTCAAGCTTATGTAAGAGATAAATAAATATCTTTTTTACGTATTTAATATATATTTTTTTAAGGCAATGCGCATGGCACTTGAATCAAAATATATGACACTTGAACAACTGGCAGATTTAATTCGAAATATTTCCATAACAAAATAAAAGAAAATCAAATGATCCAACTCTTTTATTCTATTAAGAATGTGATTGTGAGTCTCTTGGAAAGCAAATTTCTCAAAAATCTGTTACAAATATTCCGATATGCATTTTATTTAAACATTTTTTCTATTGTTATTTTTATATTAATTAGCAATAAAGAAATATTGAAAAGTCACATACAAAATGATTCATTATCGATTACAATGTATTGATAATCATTATATTGTCGATCAAAAATATCAATATAGCTTCTGGGAAAGAAAAAAACTAACGAGGGAGTCTCTCCAGGTAATAAGGCTCTTTAAGCCCCATCTTTTGGCGATAGATAGACCTCAGTGAGGTATGAAAAACCTCAAACGGATTTGTGCCCGTACGCCTTCTATTTAGGGTTATAGACATATTACTGAAATTTTTACCTATAGCAAGAAATCTACTAACAAATCGAATCCCAATATTTAGAGCTAAGATTTCACCCACAGACAGGCCTATAGGTAGGTAGAATGCCCTGAAAATTTCAGCTCAAAAGAATATTTCCTTCACGAGATATGAAACTTTCAAAAAAACGAAAAAATTCTAGCATCTTTCAGAAGATAAGGATGATTTCTGAGACTTTGATATCTCGCGCAGGAAATATTCTTTTGAGCCGAAAGTCTCAGGACATTCTACCTACCTATAGAGCTGTCTGTGGGTGAAATCTTAGCTCTAAATATTGGCATTCGATTTGTTAGTAGATTTCTTGCTATAGGTAAAATTCCAGTAATATGTCTATAACCCTAAATAGAAGGCGTACGGGCACAAATCCGTTTGAGGTTTTTCATACCTCGCTGAGGTCTATCTATCGCCAAAAGATAGGGCTTTATCACCTGGGGAGGTTCCCTCGTAAGACTAATATTCATTATTGTCGGATTTATTTAAATATATATTATAAGACGAGAGATAGTTATAGATTCTTTTAATAAATAAAAACAAAATTTAGTTTCGTCAGATGCGAAATAGTTTCCTGTATACCGTTACAGCGATACTAGATTTTCATCGGATGATTCATTGTCAGCCTAGAACATCTAGGTCAGCATTTTGGTGTTATTACTATCTACAAATTCTATAATGATATATTTGATCTGACTATCAACGACCTCTATTTGAATATTTATACTGTAGTAGTTAACTTTTGGTCGATAGTTATTCACCTATCAAATAAATGTGTGAACATGGTGTAATCGTAATCGATTTTACTTAATCATTCTGTTTTCTTTTTCGTTTATTTTAACAACATCTCTTTAGTTTTATAAATACCATTGTGTTTCATTCATTTGTAGTTTTTTAGATATGTCTTCAAATTCTTCGTCAGCCGCATCTACTAACAATAGCAATAAAGCAATTTTTAATGATGCTGAAGTGAATCATTTTTTTTTGTAATATTTTTTCGAATTATATAATATCCTTTTTTTCTTTGTTTTTAAGACTGATGCTTTTCAAGGACTTGACATCTCTCGTCTATCAACTGAAGATATTATTGCACGATCACGTTTATTAGACAATGAAGTTAAAGTTTGTATATATACATACATATAATAAAAAAATTCTAAATAATTATTTTAAGATAATGAAAAATGATATTGTACGTATTTCACATGAAAGTCAATCAATGCGTGATAGAATTAAAGATAATAAAGAAAAAATAAAAGTTAATAAAACTCTACCATATCTTGTTTCAAATGTCATTGAAGTAAATAAATTCTTTTTTTCTTTATATTTTATTTTCTCTTTTTGAAATTTATTCAAATTAGTTATTTGACCTCGACCCGCAAGGTGAAGAAGATGAAGGTGCCAATATTGATCTTGATGCACAACGTAAAGGAAAATGTGCAGTCATAAAAACATCAACCCGACAAGTAAGTTCATTTAAAAAATATAAATATATAAACTAATTTCTTGCTTAGACTTACTTTTTACCTGTTATTGGTCTTGTTGAACCGGAAGAACTGAAACCAGCTGATTTAGTTGTAAGTATTAATTGATTATGAAAATATGTATTAAGCTTGAGAAAATGATTGTTCTTATGACAATCTGTGCATTAGACTACGAAGATGCAAATAAGAATGATCTTTTATGTCACAACTCATAAATAAATTTTCTTTAATTTTGAATAACTAGGGTGTTAATAAAGATTCCTATTTGGTATTAGAAAAATTACCTGTTGAATATGATTCACGTGTTAAAGCAATGGAAGTTGATGAACGACCAACAGAACAATATGGTGATATTGGTGGTTTAGATAAACAAATTCAAGAATTAGTTGAAGCTGTTGTTTTACCAATGACACATAAAGATCGTTTTCTAGCACTTGGTATTCAACCACCAAAAGGTGTTCTTCTCTATGGCCCACCGGGTACTGGTAAAACTCTATTAGCACGTGCTTGTGCCGCACAAACAAAATCAGCTTTTTTGAAATTGGCTGGACCACAGCTTGTACAAATGTTTATTGGTAATTAAAAAAAAACGAAATTTTATTAGTTAATATTTATTTGATAAAAACTAGGTGATGGAGCAAAATTAGTACGTGATGCATTTGCATTAGCTAAAGAAAAAGCACCAGCAATTATATTTATCGATGAATTAGATGCCATTGGTACAAAACGTTTTGATAGTGAAAAAGCTGGAGATCGAGAAGTACAAAGAACTATGCTTGAACTTCTCAATCAATTAGATGGATTTCAACCAAACCATGATATCAAGTAAAATAGAAATGATTTCGTTTGAAAAATATATTTTCTATATTTTATTATGTAGAGTTATTGCAGCAACAAATCGTGTTGATATTCTAGATCCCGCTTTATTACGTTCTGGACGACTTGATCGTAAAATTGAATTTCCACATCCAAATGAAACAGTAAGATTAAATACATATGAATATTTATCATAGCTATTTAGTAAAGTCTATTAGAATCAGATTCTACCGCAGAAGAAGAATATATTTAACTAATATTTGTACTCAAATTTATGAGAAGTCCTAGATATTTCTATACGAATTTAGTCGAACTAATATTGTCAATATAGTTGAAAAAAATTTCTTCGTTTTTTCTATTTAGGCACGTGCACGTATCATGCAAATTCATAGTCGTAAAATGAATACAAACAAAGATGTTAATTTCGAAGAATTATCTCGATGTACAGATGATTTCAATGGTGCACAATGTAAAGCTGTTTGTATTGAAGCTGTACGTATTATTATTATTTATATAAATAGAATAATTAAAAAATTCATATACAATATTATTGATTTTTTAGGGTATGATTGCTTTACGTCGAGGTGCAACTGAAGTTCAACATGAAGATTTTATGGATGCTATACTTGAAGTACAAGCGAAGAAGAAAATGAATTTAAATTATTATGCTTGATGTAATCAAGTATTATTATTCTTCTTTCTTTTGTTAATTCAAATCATGCGTTTCCATTGTTCTTTTTCTCTCTCTTTTTTTTAAACGTATAACATAAAAAACAAAAAATAAATATATATTAAATCCAGAATATTTTTACCAACGACGATTATTTGTTGGTTTTTTTTATAATCAACCAAGTTGAACGAGTTTTAATAGACATATTTGATCGTTTTATACGTTCAGCTAATGTTAACCATAAACGAGCTCCGTTTCCTAATGAACGTTGTGAAAGAATTGAAACATTCCAGAGTGCACTAACAGATATATTTGTTATATTGTTTGGTTCGAAATAATCTAAAAAGAATTACATATACATTAAGTCATGTTATACAGGTCTAATCCTTCTTTCTGCTTGCCAATAAGAGCGACTACTATCGAAAGAACATTTACGAGAGATTCGTCTAACCGCTCGATATTTTCTTACACTAATTCTATAAGCACCGCAATCAAAACAGTCCCTAAGAAAATCTATCATTTGTACATTCCATAATAATCGATATATTTGTTCTGGTGGCCTACCATGCAAAAATACTACTAATGGTCTTTAATACAAATTTATAAAAAAATAACAATTATATTTTAGAGTTGAAATTTCGCAAAACGCCGGGACTTCAATTATTAACACGAAAAACTTACCATAATGAGCAGCATTTCCAGCTGCAATACCAATAATTGAACCTATTGTTATTATAGCCAATGCACTAATAAGAAACATAGCGAATTTATATGTTGCTGGATCTCTTAAAACAAAGAAGAAATGATGAAAATATAAAAAACAAACTATATCCTTCTTTACCCTTCGATCGATGGTTGTGAATTAGTTTGTGATAAGGGTATTTGATTGAGTTCCATTTGAATTCGCTACTATATTATTAATAGAAAATCGAACTTAAAATCGTAATATTGTTTGCAAATGTTCATTCAATATTGTTATTTATTGTTTTTTTCTCAATGGTCTTTCATTATTTTATAACAAACATAATTTTTTGTACAATTAGTTATGCACCAATGCTCAACATATCATTTTTCCTTCCTTTAAATTGTACATTAATATATTTTCTTTGAAAAAGTCCTTGTAATTCTCTTTTTAACAAGGTTAATGGACATACAAATATATCCTTGATTATTTCGAAGAAGTATTCTATGAATAAATATTTAACTATACTTGTTCTTTTAAGTATTCCCTAATTTAAAATATTTTACTTGAAACATCAACCGATTTTAATAAGAAAAAATTTTCATAGTTATTCCAAAACGTACTTAATTAATAAGAATGATTAAATCGTTTAGTTTTATTCAAATACGGAAAATCGTTAACTTGACTTAACCAACGATTTATTGATGGAAAAGTCAATTGAATATAAAATGATTAAATTTTAATGTCCGAATTGTTGTTTTGATAGTGAAACAAATTTTTATAATTATAAAAAAAATCAAGGACTAATCTATATTGAAGAGTATATAAACCTTCTGTATTAACAAGTTCAGTGACTTCATTGTTTTCTTTTCTCTCTTCAATAAAAAAATAACTTATTAACAATTTTATAATGTACATGATCCTTGTACATTATAGTTTAATATCTAGAAGAAAAGAATAAATAAATCGAAACACAATATTTACAGAATATCTTCGTGATAAATTTAAAAGGCTTTTTGTATAATCAAACCAAAATGAGATTGAAGAATAATAATCGTATAATATGTATATATATATATGAAAAAATTACTATTTTTTCTTTTTGAGTACTTCTTTATTACTCTATATTACGAAACGAGAATAAGTCAAGATATAGATTATTGCGTTAATACTTAATATTAATAATCAAACAGAAGAAGAAAATGCGTCTAACATATATGCCTCCAATTGAAAATCGTAATGGTCAATTTACAAAAATGCGAATGCATTTACGACCGAAGGTATGCATCTTCATTGACACATACTTCATAGAAGAAACTAATGAAATATTATTGACTTTAATACACATATATTTGTAGTTACCAATTCCTGTGAATTATGCAACAGCAGCAATTCCAACATATGCTCCATTTGGTACTGAATATACACCAGAACAAACAATGAAAATCGTCGGTGGTCGATGTATTGTACTACCTCAATCCGTTGCAAATATGCCTAAATTTTCTTTTGAATCATTACTAAAACCACCGTATGTTTTATGTTTTTTATCAAAAAATTAAGTAGAAAAGTCTTTTCATTATTTTTCGATGAATGCGATCGTTTTAATAGAAAAAAGCTAAGTATGATTACGATTACAATAAAGTGTTAAATTAAGCATGTACAAATATGCTCTTCGTTTCGATACAAACATCGGTAACGATTAGCGAACAAAAAAAAGAAGTTACCCAAGCAACTAAAGTTGCTCTTTCTTTTTTGACAGCGACAGAATGACAAAATAATCACAACAACAACAACAAAAACATATAATAAAAGAGAAAAACTAAAAAATTGCTCCTACGTATGTTTACTGTAGACTTTATTAAACGCGTTATTTTTTTTTTTCAATCATTGAATTCTGTGTTTTTGATAATAAAATGGCATTTACACAATATTACCCTTTATCGAATTTTATTTAGTACGATAGATATTAAGAAAAACTTTGTTTATTCATAGAATTTATTATTTATTATCTAGTGATCCATCTGTATCTCCAACGAAACCAATTCAACATCTTCATGAAGCTGAAAGTGCTCGATTACAGCATCATGCTACAGGAAGATATGAAACAACGTATCGTACACAATTCGCCCCACGAACAACCCGTCAACCAGTATGTATTTTGATTATATTGAGAAAAAATTTTGATATATTAATCTATATAAAAAAAATATTCTATGGTATCATAAGAAGCCCTATATAATTTTAACTGACAGTAAGTTTTCTATATATCATAAGATCTTATGTATGATTTCGATTTGTTTCTCACGCTGACCAAGGATTTTTCAAGCAGTACATGTAAAAAACAATATAGGAAGAAGAAAACATTTTTCTTTCTATTTACCTTTACAATAAGTTTTAAAAGAACTCAAAACAAATGCCATCTGCTTCTTCTTGACACTGACTATAAAAACTAGATTCCATTAATTTTCATGACAATCATAAATACTCATCTTTGTTATTGTTGTTTAAATCTAATCATTTTTTGATATTTATTAGGAACAATTTTCACAACCAACTCGACAATTTCAAAATGTCTTTAGTCCATATCCAGTATTACCAAAAATCTCTCCAGATCATAATCCTACACCAACATCGGATCGTAAGAGCGTTATAGATACTCCAGTACCACAAAAACCAACACCACAACCACCACCACAACAACAACAACAACAACCAGTATTGAATAATGAGGATACATATTTACCTCGTGAACCGATATTATTAACTGATTATGAAGAAGAACGTTTAGCAGAACAAATTCGCGCACAATTAGGAGGTGAAGCAGCAGTTGAAAAATTAAAAATACTTTATCAAGAATTAGCTGCTTATGATCCAAATACAACATGTTATATACATTATAATGCTGTTCGATCAATAGCATATCAAATCGGAGTATAATTTATTCAATAATATTTAACTATAAACTAGTAATTTTTTATTCTTAGCTTTATATGGCTGATGATACATTTCGTTTTGCTATGAGTAAATTTGTTTCAGCTGATCAACCACGTGGTTTAATAAATTATGAAGATATGATTCGATATTTTGCACGATGTATATCATCTCTCACACCTAATCAATACGAGTAAGCTTTGTTTTATTATAGAATAATACATGTCAGTATATACCTATTCTTATCGGTGACAATACTCTAAACATAAATATCGTGTTTCATTTCCGTTTCGTCAGCTATCATTTTATAGAAGTCGTCAGTACCATCTTGGTAAGCATTGGTCTCAGCATTCCAACTATTACGATACTAATATAGGGTATGTGGAGAGAAAAAACTGATCTATATAATGCTTGATCATGGGGAGCTCACTCATTATCAATATTTACTTACATATTCGTTATGTTTTTTTTGTATAATAGTATATTTGTATAAATCTATTCTTTACTCAGAAATCATCCACAACAACAACAACAACAGATGGTGTCGAATGGTTCGAATTTCTCGAAATCAAATGATAAATTCGATCCTGATGAAAGTCAAATTCGACTTTTATTAAAACAAAATTTAAAACAATTTGAACATGATGGTACAATTGATTTTGATAAATTAACTCGAGAATTAAGTAGTGTTGATCGAAGTCAAAGTGGAATATTAAATCGACAACAAATTGAAGAAGTTATTTATAAAGTTCGTATTCCATTACAACGTTCATTAACCTATCAAATACTTGAAAGACATTGTCGAGCTTATCCAAAATTATATAAGTAAATATATATATATAAATCAAGAAAATTCTTTATCTATTATATTATAGTTGGAGAGCGTTTGTTCAATATTTAAAAGAACGAACATTTGATATACAACAAATTCAAGATCGATCAAGTCCAATTTTTTCCCAAGTAGATAAAACATTGAAGTAGTCTAATTTTTTTTTTAAAATTTTGTTTTAGTATACTCGAAGTCGAAATCAATGGCTTGACGATCTTCAAAAAGAATTTAATGAAAGAGATCGTTTACGTCTTATTGAACGATTTATGTCGAATATTGCTAATAATGAAGGAGTGCGATTGGTAAATAAAAATTCATCATTTTATAAAATATCGTTTTTTATTTATTTTAGGAAAGTACGTATCCAAATGCTTGGTTTACACGATTTTTACGTTTAGCAAATGCTATGTATTCACATCGTACTGATTCAAATGTTATGCGTATGTATCTAATATAATAAACTATTTCTAATTTGATTAGTTTATTTTTTTGTAGAAGATTATTTATTACCTCGTGAAGAAGCTCGTCGACTTCTTCAAGCTTATAATCAAGTATGGGATTTACAGATCAATGAAAATAAAATCCTACGAGCTTTTGATGCATATTCTCGAAATGGATATGTTGTTATTAATGAAGTACTTAAAGAACTTGCTAAATGAACAGATGTTTTATTTTTTAAATAAATATTTTCTATGTTTGAATAAGTTATCAATTTAAGTATTAAATGTAAAGAAACATTGATCGATTGAGAAGCATTGTTTGTTCTATATTTCGTAAAAGAAAAACGTATACATTAATGTCGTGATCAATCTGCAAATAAGAGATGTATGTTTATTTCGTTGCGTAAGCTTTATGAACACTAGGAGATATGTGTAACAACTATTATTTGTTAATAGAGTGGACAATCGATCCATTATTTTATAAAGATGTGGTGTATAAATCTTATGATAAAGAATTTTTGCGCGATGATATATAGGTCACAAGGTTTCGCCATTAATCAAGATCATCTACAAAGATTGTCTATTATGATTATCATCATATGTGTTGAAATGTTCTTCTCTCTATTTCGGTATAGCTGCATAAAATATAAAACGTATCATATGTTTGTCATAGATTTATTTTCTACTTGTGTTCAAGTATAAGCATAATTTATCTACATAACTCATTCAATTATATTTACATATCTTCATTAGATAATCAATATTTATATTGAATAACAAGTATTCGAAACAAATATATACTCTCAATTATAATTTTCTTTTGTGTTTCTTATTCAAATGTATTAAGTAGATCATTTGTCTTAAATCCGACTAGTATACTTTGCATATAACATAATGTTAATGGAAAGAAGGCTATAAGTTTTGTTTAGTACGTTTATGATTGCTATTTCGATAGTCAAAAACAGTTGTGTCCCTATTAGTTGAGAGTAGACATAAGACAACCTTATGAAAATAATTAGAATGTTCCCTATCATTTTTTTTAATGGCTATTAACACACATATACAGACATTATGATGGTCTACCCATATATGATTTTCACCTTAAATTTTATATCTGTTTTTTTTTGGGGGATAAATTTTCTCGATGTTACATAAGAAATAAAAACGGATTGTTATCAAATGGCATCAATAAGAGTACGATTTTCATCATATACGTGTAAAGTTCATTTGATAAACGAAAGAATATATACATTTAAGAATCAACTATTAACCTTCAATGTCAAACATTATTACGAAACAACGAATACAAAAAAGAGTCGTATTACTTTGCTGTTAAATATGAACATATATACCAATATAATGTGTATTTTTTCTCTCTCTCTCTCGTTTATGTTCTTTTACCTATGAAGACCTCTTCGTTTGGAAGGTCATTAACATAAAATCGAAATAAAGAAGAAGAAAAAAGAGAAAGACAATATTTTTTCAAATGTCCAACAATCTCTTTCGTTCTCTCTCTCTCTCTTTGTCTCATTTCTTTACTTTTTTTTATTACATTATACCTTGAAAATAACCTTGCATTATCTTAGGTATAAAGATACTTATAGTTACATACTACCTTGCGTTTCCACCTCAATTTTCATATCGAAGTGTCTCGACAAATATTAAAGTGTTACATTAAAAAAAAAGAGAGCAATCGAAGGTGAAAGAGTCATAAACATAGACACATACACTTCACCTGAATAGACACACATATTCTCTTTATAAAATAATATATTCCTTCTAATACATAATCGTTATTGACAAATTGTCATCTCAAGTACACAACCATCATGTAAATTATTGTCATAAGGAAAGTATCTTATACTTTTTTATATGCTTTTATTGATATAGGATGAGAGAAAAGAAATCATTGACAGACGCTCATTAATCATTCAGTTCTATTGTACGATATAATAGAAGTCATACTACATTTTGTTTTAGATAGAACAATATATATTATGGATTCTTTAGAATATAGTGATTCATCATCTGTTAGTTATCTTAATTCAAATCACGGTATTGAATTTGATGGACGATCATATGCATTATATGGTATGTTATTTCATTTATATTCTATATATATATCTACAATATTTTTTATAGATCCTAATTTTAAAATTTATGATTCATTTACTATCAATTTTCAACTACAAACATTTGGTGCTGATGGTCTTCTTTTATGGATTCATGATCCTTTACCAGATTCAAGTTTTACAATTGAAATTCAAAATCGACAGGTTAGATTTTTCGAAAATATACCCATATATCTATCTATCTATGTACCTATAGCTCATAGCTCGAGCTGTTGCACGTGGTCAACCATATAGTGTTCGTACAAATTTTTCAAAAAATCGTCTATGTGATGGTATATGGCATTTTGTTCAAATACGTCTTGATGGTAGTTCACTTTCAATGAAAGTTGATAAACGACAATATACTAAAACTGAAGCACGTGTTCGTTCACTTGATTTACATGGTCCACTTTTTATTGCTGGTCATTCGGAAAAATATACTCCAACATATTTATCAGTTCGTACAAAACAATTTTTTCATGGAAATGTACGAAATTTAAAAATCAATGAGAAACAAATTGATTGGCTTGCACCACGTCGTACTGTAGCAACACCTGATTATTATCATCTTACTTCAGCAATATTATCAACCGTTAATGATCAATTAGATTTCGATCCAACAACAATAGTCAAACGTACACCAAAAACGATATCATCATCTTTAAAATGATTAGAATAGAAAAAAACAACATTTCTTAGTGTAGAAGTTTGAACCGGTTTATGTGCGAAAAATTTCTCTTCTTTTTTTTCTTTTTTTGTTTCTAAAATTATGTAAACAAACTATTTACTTTGTTTTCTGTCATAGAAATAAAATTTTAGAAATATCCAAAATATAGGAATAATAAGTTAAATGTTCATTTTTCACAGGCAAAGATTTTAATGAGCTTGTGAAAACGGCGCCGATAAATTTTCAACTTAACTATTGATTAAATGGCAAATCTAGTCGAACAGAAAAATGTCTATAATATACCATGTGATGAATTACCTAAAACGATAAAACGAGGATTAGGACCTGAATTTATCTATCCATTTATTGTACTTTTCTTTGCTACTATTCTTCGAAAATTTCTCAGGTATTATTTTATTGAATTTGTGTTCTATTTCAATTTTTATTTTAAAAGACATTATCATATTTCACTTCCATATACAGTTATATTAATGCTTGTTGGAGCTGTTCTTGGTGCTTTTTATCAATATGAACTTATTAAACGTTTTACATTTATTGCTGATTTAACACCTGTTCAAATTCTCGCCATATTTTTACCTATTTTAATATTTGAAAGTGCATTTTCATGTGATCCACATATTTTTATCAAATGTCTGGGACAAATTCTTATATTAGCAATATTAGGTAAAAAAATTAAAGTTTACTTAAATTAGAACAATTTTATATCAACTGTACTGTATAAGCCATCGCCGCTGAGGTACTCAGTATTCATCTAATAATGCCTAAATGAACCTATTAGATAGATATATCTTTAACTGATTCGTTCTTTTTATATTATTTGACGATAGGTTTCTTTATTTCTGTGGTACTCACTACATTAGCTGTTATGTATTGGTATGAAAATGAATATACGAATGATATTCAAGCATGTTGGACATGGGATCAAGCTGTTTTATATTCAGCTGTTGTTTCAGCAACTGATCCTGTATCTGTTGTTAGTTTACTTAAATCTATGACATCATTAAAAACATTATCAACTGTTATTGAAGGTGAATCTGTATGTTAAATAGGATTTTTTCAGAATTATAATATCTTTTATTTTTAGTTACTTAATGATGCAGCTGCAATAACTGTTTATACATTAATAAAAGATTTGATTTATGAAGCAATTAAATCTGATAAAGAATTTTTACAAGAAACTCGAACAACACTTTTAGGTACTAATGCTGAACGATGTAGTAATGCTACGAGATTTCTTATTAAACGTAAAATTACACTTATTTATCTATTAAAATTTATTTTAAAAACAATAGCAACCGCTATTTTAATTGGTACGAATATATTTTAGAGTTTGAGATCAAAAGTCTTATATTTGAATTTAATCTAGGTTTTATAATGGCTCATATAACAATATTTACTTTATATCGTATTGAAGCTGGTGAATTAGAAACATGTATAACAATTGCAATGTCTTATTTCGTTTATTTAACATGTGAAGCTATTGAAGCATCAGGTGTTATTGGTGTTGTATTACTTGGTTTAACATTAAATATGAATCGTGCTTGTTTTAGTGTATCAGCAATTGAAATATCTGAACAAACATGGGAATTACTTGCTTATGTTGCTAATTCACTTATATTTATAACTGTTGGTGTTATATTACTTAAAACATATAGTGGAAGTGATAAAATGTTATCATTACTTAGTTCTATTCCACAATTATTATTAATTTATATTATATTAATACTTGTTCGAGCTATAATGATACTTTGTATACATTTTCTATTAAAACAAATTGCATATGGTTTTACATGGAAAGATTCAATTGTGACAATATGGTCTGGTTTACGTGGTGGTGTAAGTCTTGTTCTTGCATTAACACTTTTTAATACGAAAATTAAAGATAAATATCAAGCTGAAATAATGCTTATTCATACAACAGCAATTGTATTTCTTACATGTACAGGTAAGAAAATCAAAATGAATAGATTTAATAATATTTATTTTTCTCTTTCTCGTAGAGAAGAGTCCAGTAAACATAAACTGTTTGTTTGCTTGTGTGTCCGCAGGGTCAAAAAAAACATCGAAGACCGAGTTTCAGAAAAAAACATTTCTTGAGGTATTTCGATGCGGGGACTTCGAATTTGAGGTCTTTTGGCTGACCATGCTGAAGGGGAGTGAAGACGGGGAGAGGTCGAAAAAACATCGAAGACCGATTTTTCGGAAAAGACATTTCTACAGATATCACGACGCGGAGACTTACAATATGCGCCTAATTTGGTCAGACTACTAAAGGGGACGATGGATGGTGAATTGAGAGAAGTGACATGGACAGATAGAAATCGAGTTTTTGGTGATGCATTTTTGTGGGTATCCAAATGCTCTCCTGCTTGTACTGCAGAGCATCGCGACCATAAACCGTTAGCTTTCTTGTGTATAAGATTACTAACACTTCACTTATTCGTTAAAGGCTAGTTTGACAAGCCATTGGTGCTGACAGCTCTAATATGTTTTGATCTGCGTTTCACACTAAGTAAGATGCGAGTATGTGCTAAGAGTAAGTAATAACAACGGAAAGCAAGGTTTTCAATTGTTTTTCCAGTAAACGTAAAGAAGATGCATTTCTACGAGAAAGAGTTAAGCGAGTCCTCGGACAAGCATTACTTATTATTTAATTTCTTCTAGTTAATGCTTTAACAATACCTAGTATTATTCATATTTTACGTTTAAATCAAACATCAGAATTAATAAAGCAAACAGTAGTACAAATGATAAAAGAATTAAAAATCAAACAAAATAATATGATTAAATCATTGAAAAAAAATCAAATATTAGCAACAGCTGATTGGTTTTTTGTACAGAAAGCTATTGATATTCAATCACCATTTGATGAAAAAAAAGATGAAATAATTAAAGAAAATTTATTATTAAAACGTCATATTGATACAGTTAAATGTGATCATTGTCAAGCTCATGTAACAATACCAATATCTAAATTTGAATTTAAACAAACATTTGAAGATTGTAGAATAAGAATTTTAAGGTTAGTTTGCAAGTTTTGTCTTATAGTAGCAAAAACTATATATCAAAAATTTCTTTTTAGATTACAAAAGACGCATTTCTGGTCGAATTACTACAACGGTCAATTATCATCTTATGGACTTCATACATTAAACTCCTTATGTGATAGAGCGATTGATACACCTAAAGCATTTATAGATTTACAAACTATAAAAGCTCATATAATTGGTAAAAGTCGAATACGATCTTTATTAAATATAATACGTAATGGTACACATAAATATCAACGATATTTACCTTGGTATTATTGTCGAAATCAACATCGACTGAATATTAATAATAATATTCAATCAGTTCAAAACTGGTATAGAAAATTATTTATTTCATTTCTTATCATTCTTATTGAATGTATAATTCTTATCTATCAACTTCATACTAATCTTTGTAATAGTTTAGTAAATAAATTTCATCTTACATTAGAAATTATTTCAATCATCTTATTTATTTTTGATTGTGTTCAATTATTCCACTGGTTCTATCATAACAAACAACGAAAATTTTATATTATAAATCTTATTTGGATTATTCTATATGCATTTAGTGTTCTATGTCGTTTACTTAGTTCTATTATTTATATAATTGGTATAGCACAAAAATCATGTATAACATTTGCTATTTTAAAAAGTTTAAGTTTAATTGAATGTATTATTTTATGTTTATTTCTTATTGAACCACTTCGATTATTTGTTGATTATATGCTTAATCGATATATAAGTGTTAGTTATGATATTGGTTTAGCATATATTTCTTCTGAAGAACAAGTTCTTCGAATTATATATCGATTAACAGATAATGGTAAATCTTTTAAATAACATTCTCAGTCATCGAAAGAAATTTTGTTGATTTTTTTTTAAAGAAACTATTCGTATTCGTATACGTGAACTTTCACTTCAACATATAAGAAGTGTTTTAAATGATGTACTTATAATGCAAGAAGCTCATCCAGGTACTATTATAAGTATAAAAACTTATCATACTCTTAATTTATTATATAATACTGCTAAACGAGGTATAACTCAAATACGTTCTCGAGGTGTTCTTGATGTTGATGATTGTGATTTACTTGAACAATCATTACAAAATATGCATATTCATCTACATATTCCATCTACCATGCCACCCATATCGCCAATGATTATTATCAAGAAATTATCTTGGCTTTATTCAAATCAACAATTAAATTTTCATCAAATAAATACAATTGAAAAAATCTTAATTCAAACATTACCTAATGAAAATACGAAATATTTTGAAAATGAATCAATATTACATCCACAAAGTTTTACTTGGCAAGATTTTTTATGGCATAAAAATGATACTATAAATGGTATTTATCTATTAGTTAATGGTATTGTTGAAGAATGGAAACTTGATCCATATGATATAGATGCATATCATAGTGAATTACGTTGGAAAGAAAATAATCGTACAAGACGAACAACTTCAACAGCGCCACAAAATCAGAATTATCAGACAATATCAAATAAAAATATCGGTAATAATTGCAATTAGAGAACTGCACTGCCCTTCAAAACCCGACTCCGACGGAGCCGGAATTAGAATGACTATTTGAAAATTTTCGGAGTCGGAGTTGAAATCGAAATCGCGAAAAAAAATTTTCGGAGTTAATATCGGATCCTGATTAGAAGACTAATTAAATTGCTTATTCCTTTCTCAAAAAGAAGTTTTTTGTCATAATATTTGTGTTTTTAAAAAAAAATGAGAAGAAACAAAGAAGTTCTACAACTTCTAGAACTTAGCAATATCAGATATTCTTTTTTTTTATTTGCTTATAGTTTTGTTCATTCACAATCCTTAGTCTTTCTATTTATCTCTACACTACAAAGACGTTTTCGGAGTTTTTCGGAATCGGAATTATCTAGAATTTTTTCTCGGAGTCGGAGCCGGAATCGGGATCGGAGTTGGAATCGGAATAAAAAAATTCGACTCCGCAGTTCTCTAATTGCAATGCTTCTCAGTCTAGTCTAGCTCTGATCAGTGTTTTATCTAGCGTATAGACGGTGCCCTCCTGAAATTTTTATTTCGCCCACCCGAAAAAAGAAACCTGGATAAAATAAAATAAATCTTATAATTTTTTAGGAAAACCATTGAACATGAATAGAGCTGGCTCTGATATATCTTCAGAAGATCAATCAATAGCATCTACAAAAACTGTTGTATCAACAAAGTAGGATAGATATTCTTGTAATCGTTTAATGATTTAATTCATTGATTATTCAGTGTTTCGGAAAAAGATCTTGTACCTTTAAATACAAATATTGTATCATATAATAATGATTCAACATTGATAACATCTGTTCGTATTGCATTTGAAGAAGGTTTCTATATGAGATGGCATCATTTTCTAACGAATTCAATTGATAATAAATTTAATAATAATTCAATAATCATGAATGATAGTATTCATCATATACAATCAGATGAAAATTTTGAAGAATATTTCGATGAAACATTTGAAAAATATCGACAAATACATCCAGCTACTAGTGAACGAATACATCGTCGTTATTCAATAAAATCAGGTGATTGTATTGGACTGTATGATTTTCTTATTAATAATGGTGAAAAATATGAATCAACAGCAAAATGTTTAACAAATATTACTGTTTTTTTTATTGCCAAAGAAAAATTATTCGAAATTTTTAATACATATTCATTATGGAATGTTATATGGCTTGAAATGAGTATGTTACAATAAATATTTTTCTGTTGAAGAATTCTATTTTCTTTACTTTAGGTATAAATTTAGCTTTACATATTTTACCAAATATTTCATCTTTTCAATATACACATAATAAACATCCTATGACTAATTTTGATTTACTTAATAAACGACTGATAATTTCTGGTTTACTTATCTATAATGAAATCATATGTACATCAGATGATACTATTCAATTAAATGAAGATCTTCTTCTTGTTGCTGGTTCTGTTCGTAATCAAATTACTAAATGTATCTATGAAGCACCAATATTTATTAAACGTTCTTTAACTCGACAAGGTTTAAAATTACTTGAAGATCGCTCTAGTATTAAAATTCTTGTCTTACCAAGAATATCAACAACAACAACAATTGAAAATCATATTTTTACTGATAGTTTATTAATTCAACATATACTCGATAATAAAACAAAGCAAAACTCGACTGATCGATCAAATGATTATGAACAAACTAAATGTAAGAATAGATCATAATAAAAATGATACAATTGAATATTATTACATTTATTTTAGCATCAAAAAATCTTCCTACAAAGTCAATACTGAATATATTATCAGGTTTGACAACTGTAATATAAAAAAAATTATTTTTTATTTTTTCTTTAGAAAATAGCGAAGTATCAGAAAAATGATCTAATCATTAAACAAGTTATATTTGATTATATGGAAGTATTTTTGAACTATAGAATCTCGTCTTTGTTAAATTATCATACATATTTTCGATATATTGATCATCGCAAATTTCATTTTTATTTGTTTATTCATGCACATCGTATTTAATGTATCATGCTCTCGTCAATATATTTTGAAAAGGTAGATAAATGTATGATAAGTTCGAAATATTTATTATTGCATAGTTTTTTTTAGTAATTGAGAGTTGAATAAATCGGTTTGTAGAATGTTTAACAGTCCTCTGAATGCATATAACATGCGGGTTAATAATCAGCAAAAGAAAGAACTAATCATAGGTAACATACATTGTTTGTTTTATTTTAGATACACGTAATCATGACATATATACTAACGACATTGAAAGGGAAAAAAACGAATAAATATTTTCTATTGTTACAAATAATTTAATACGGCTAATTAACTGATATTTATATTATGTATCATAGTTTATATCATCAAATATATTTGACATTGAGATAGACAAAACTTTCTATTTCAATTGCTGTTATCGATTCACTATCTTATAAGAATTTACGAATAAGTTAAATTTCTATATATTTAAATAATAACATATTTTTTTTTGGCTACGTATTTTATTATGTTGTTAGGCTAAATTAGTATACAAAGAAACAAAAATTATTAACAAATGAATGTTTTTTGTTGCGATTATTTCTTGTTTGGAGTAGTATAGGATAGATTTAGTGAGTTGCTTCTTGTTTATGAACTTCTTTTTTAGCTCCATGTTTTGCTTCATCGGCTTTATCGCCTAAATTTAAAAAAAAATACATACGTTATATTTAATTAATGAATATATTTCATATAAGAATACTAACTGCAAGCATCGATGGCAGCTCCTACTCGAGTACCAACTTTTTGATCTGAATCCTTGGCAATTTCTTTGTTTGTTTCTTTACTTGCACCAGAACAAGTTTCTTTTACTTTTTCAACACCAGCTTTGCATGCTTCACTAATTTTTTCCATTGTAGAAGAATAATATGTATTCGAAGGTAGTAGAATATAAAATGGCTTTTGAATATGAAATATACTGGCTTTAGTTGCAGTTTATATAGGATTGTCGAATCCTCTATACATATATTTTTTCGTCGTCATAAAAGAGGGAGGCGTGTAAGGAGGTTGGGCTCGAGAAAAAAAAACGCTGCAGAACCTTCTGGATTTTTTTCTTTGATAATAACAACGGGTATACATACTCATCAGTTATAATTTGATACCCGAAGGACACTTTGTTGTAATAATTATTGAGTAAAAAAAGATAGATATCGATTGTATTGCGTCGTATGTAATGATTTATGTATAAATATATAAAAATCATCGAGCTGTATCGATTATAGAAGCGAAAAAAGCAAAGTAATATACCGTCTGTACCGATTAACCATTTACATAATTTCTTTTTTTATAAACGGTAGTTACTTCATACATTTACACGTGACAAAATTTGATATCAGATGATTATAATATTTTAGACACAAATACATTGGGTTGTTTCTCTACGATTTAATACGAATACAGAATCAAGGTATATTATATTGACTAAGATTTTAAAATAAAACATAGTATTTTAATAAAGAAAAAATTCATGTCAATAAGAACGTTTAGTTTTTGTTTGCTGTATCGATTTCTTGTTGTTCATCTATACTAGGTGGAGTTTGTGTTTCAGTAGTTTGGATTAAAAATGGATTCGGTGCATTGGGTCCAACATCAGCTAATTTATGATTAACTCTATAGAATAAAATAAATTTTATCTTAGAAACAAAATCGTCTTAATACATACTGACGATGTGTAGCCTCATCAGCACGTATAACTAGCAGAACATCTCTTATCATAGCATCATTTGATAATTTCCAATAATTTTTAGCAATTTGTGGTGCTGGTAAATTTCTCCATGCTGGAAGTTTACCAGCATCAAGATTTTCAATACATCGTGTATATGTAATAACAGCTTCTTCTTCAAGAAAACCAACAAAACGATGACATATTTGTGGTGATAGAAGATATGTTAAGAAGAAAGCACTAAAAAAAAAATAATATTAAATTATTTCAATAAAAAAAATCTATTTTACTTAAAAAATACACCTTGACCTAAAAGTACGAATCCACGAAATACATATCCTGGTTGTCGTAATTCTAAAAATGTTAACAAATGCATGCGTTCATTTTCAGCTTCGGATAAAAGAGTATGAATCCATCCGTGATCACGTTTCATTGTACCTTCAAAACATAGAAACTGTTCTCCAGTTTCATTTTATATTTACAGCTTACGAAGTGATTTCATATGACGACTCATTCCAGCAACCATGCCTGGTACACCAGCAATTGATTCAAGAAATATAAAACGTCGTAACCATTGTTGTTCAGTCATAGTTTTTATTATTTTATCAGATTTTGATGTTGATGATTCATGAATATAACCAGTAAATGTATCGAAAAAGAAACGCATTGTTCGAACAGCTGCAAAAGCTACTCGATCATGCCATGATTCAAATTTTTTATGTGTTATTTTAATATCATTGAGTTCTTTTTCCGAATATATTTCATGATGCATCATATAATCTTTTGATTCTATAAAATTTTAATATAAAGAAAATATTTATCAATAATATTTTATACATACGTTTATTATCGATTTTCATATGAAGTTGTTCTTCATTTGAATCAATTCTAGTTGTTTTCTTATTCATCAATGGTAAACATGTATGAAGAAGAGAACGTGATTGCATTGAATTCAATTGAGAAACAGATTTCATTGTTGGTGAGATTAAATAATGAATTTGAAATAGAAACTGTGTATTTTTCATTGTAAAACTTTTCGTATAGGAAAATAATATGAGCGCAACACTGTTTATATGGAAACAAGTGCCATTTACTGGTGACGTCATTTGCGTTCTTCTGTAATAGGCTGATGCAATACTGGAATAACAAGGTTCACATGAGTAATGATTGCGGCAGTTTTACGTACATATGACAGAAGAAAACAAAGTTTACATTATTATGTGTTATAGTCTTTAAAATAAATACGTTCATTTGATATGATTATAAAAATGGAACATATTTTTCTACGATTATTCATAAAGAATGCCTCAGGGTGATAAGTTTTAGCATTTATTGATTGCTTTTTACTGTAGTTAAAGCACATATATCGATCTATGAATGACGACAGACGGAGATATATAAAATGTATTTGAACAATGTCTATATTATAAAGAATTTTATGGCGTATGTAATTAAGAGTTTGATTCAAATTTATCATGCCATGTCTCTTTTGTAAGAAAAACCTTTCAATCAGTTATTATTATTTTAATTCGGTTTAATATCTTCTTCGGTACGTTTATATATCTACTTAATTACTTGTAGATAATCTTATTGTATAACCATTTGAGCGGATTTAGGTTATCGGTGACAGTCAAATACAATGATTTCATACTTTGTACAAAAGCGAATGATCAATCATGTGCAAATAGCCTTACTTAATTACATATAAATGATGTCTCTCTTTTTTTTCGAGCTAATAAAACTTGATATATATAAATGTGAACAATGTTTTATATATGTTAAAAGCAAAGAGAGAGAGAGAGAGAAAAAAAGAAGAAGAATGATCATCATAATGAGAAAAAGAAGAATGAGAAATCACCAAGTACAATCATTTCACATGCAAACCATAACAATAAGAAGAAAAAAAAGAGACAAGTTTGCCTAAAGATAGATAGATATACATTATCGAAGCAAAGCTATTCAACTCATATGTACGTTTTTTTTATATAAAATATCAATTGAATTTTTTTAAAAATTCTTCAGCACACATTCGTGCACGTGAACTAACAGCCAATTTCATTTCACTAATTTCTTTATCAATTTCTTCAAGAAAATAAATTATAAAATCAACTAGACGATGCTTATACATTGTTTCAGCATGGAAATTTGTTATTAAAAAGCTAATATCATAATCCTATATGAACAAAAAAAGAATATAAATAATACAATGATATATTTTACATACAGGAATTGGTTTTCGTCGAAGTATATGAAAATCATCAGCACGTTGCATCATAAAACGCATTAATCGTTTACATAAAATCTTTTCAAGATCATCAGCCTATTTAAAAAATAATATCAATCATAAAAAGAAAGAAACAAGTTTTGATTTTTACTTGTTTAACAGCAATACTTATACGAACAGAATTAACTGAACCTTCGATAAGAATTCGTTCATTTTGATTACGACTTATAGTAACTGGATTAAGTAATAATTGTTTTGAAGATCTAATTGAATAGAAATCGATTATTTTTGAATTTTAGATATTTTTTTCGCTTGATGAACATACTTCACTTCAACTTCAGGTTTATTATGTCGTTCAACAACTTGAGATTCAAAATTTTCGATACAAAAAGCAGCTTGAAGTGTTGCTCGAATAGCATCGAGATATGGTTTATGTGCAGATGTCTAAATCAATATACTTAATCATTATTAAATACATATATAAAAGATAAACTTACTCTAGGAGGCACCGGTTGCGTCATGATATTTAAAATATAAAGACAAATAATAAAGATAATCTAGATAAAAATCACAAATGAACCAATATCCTGTAGATAATATTGAATAAACAGAACAAAATGAATAAACCTTAAAAAAAAATCATTCTTCCTTTATGTTGATTCGTTCGTTATTTGTAACATTAAATTAGTCACAACTTATTTCATTAATGATGAATAGCGTCATCTATTTGAACATATATAGTCGAATTTGATGCTTCTTGTCTGTATACAGTAGATAGTATTTTGAAAAATAAATGTAAACTCACTACATACGAATACTATAATAATACTTTCGTAGAAGTGGAAAAATCTCGGAATCATGGAAATCTTCAGATGAATTCTTTAATACATATGATGAGTTATAATTCAGCTGTAAAGTCTATAAAGTAAATAGATATAAGATAATGTCACGTATTATGTTTTTTGTTTGGAAACAGAATCAAAGAATAATTTATTGTATTGAATAATTACGCTTCCTTTTCGCGCAATTAATCCTGATATAATAATGAGAATGAAGTTATCACCTTTACCTGCTACCGTTTTCAGTAAACTATAACATTAAGTGATTAGTATAACCAATTTTATAACTGTCTGAAGGGTTTTCATAGCTTTTAGCTTCGTTGTATAGTTATCCATCGGAATCTTCCGAAAGAATTGTCATATAAAATATCTTTAAACGTCGTCCACATCAAAATCAGAAATGAAGCGAAAACTTAAGTCTATCGATAGGACTATACTATCATCCTGATCTTATGTAATTCTATATTTTCATTGTACGAATCAATCTTTTAAAATAAGATGTTAAATCGTATATTTTTCAATAATACGTTTGTTGATGCACAGCGCCCTCTCAATTTTCAGTTCATTGATTGACCGATGAAATAATAAAACATCTCAATTAGTTTATATATTCTTGTTGTTGTTCATGTTCATAAGTTGAACAAAAAGCAAAAAGAACGATGGTAATTTTTTTTAAATTTCCCAAAATCTTTATAAATATCTTTTTTATATTCCCTAGACGAAATTATATATTCTATATGAGCATGCATCTGGTTATGCATTATTTCAAATTCGTGAATTTGAAGAAATTGGTATGAATATACCACAAGTAGAAGCAACTGTCATAGATCTATCAAAATTTGCTACTGTTGTTAAACTTATTGCATTTTATCCATTTCAATCCGGTATTAATGCACTTGATAATATCAATGCTATATCTGAAGGTTAATTTTATTCAATTGTTAACAAAATAATTCAAATTATATTTCTATAGGTGTAGTTCATGATGATCTTCGAACATTTCTCGATACAAATTTACCAAAAGAAAAAAAACGTGCAAAAATGATTCTTGGTGTAGCTGATACACGTATAGGATCAACAATTAATGAACTTTTTTCAATTACATGTCAACATACAGGTGTTGTACCTGAACTTTTACGAGGTAAAATATGAATAAAAACAAAATATATAATCTAATAAATATATTTAAAAGGTCTTCGTCTTCATTTTCCAAATTTAATCAAAGGTTTAACAGATCAAAATCAAAGTAAAGCACAACTTGGTTTAGGTCATGCATATTCTCGTGCAAAAGTTAAATTTAATGTTAATCGTGTTGATAATATGATTATTCAATCAATTGCATTACTTGATCAACTTGATAAAGATATCAATACATTTTCTATGCGTATTCGGTAAGATTATGATTTGATCAAATGCAGAAAAAAAAACTTTTCCTATTTCAATATTTAGAGAATGGTATGGCTATCATTTTCCTGAATTAATTCGAATTGTGTCCGATAATTATACATATGCACGTGTTGTATATTTAATGAAAAACCGAAAAGATTTTACAATCGATCGTGAAGATGAATTAGAAGCAATTATAATGGATAGTGGAAAAACTGCAGCAGTTTTCGAAGCAATGAAAACAACAATTGGTTTGTTATTAAAATTTTCAAGATATGTTAAATGAAAATATAAATTTAGGAATGGATATTTCACCTATTGATCTTATTAATATTGAATCATTTGCTACTCGTGTTATTCATTTATTTGAATATAGAAAAAGTTTACAAGAAGTAAAAAAACTTTTATTTTTTTTCAGGAATGTATATTTTTGTTTTAGTATTTAAAAAGTAAAATGGGACAAGTAGCTCCAAATTTAGCTATGTTAATTGGTGAACAGGTAAGAATCAATAAGTTATATTCTGATAAGAGACTAAGGAATCGAACGACATTGACTGAAACTCTAGTAAAATGCCCACAACTGGATAGGAAAGATCTAAGGGTCGTTGTTCTTCTGAGGTTTTTCATACATCATTGGGGTTTACCTTATGCACGGAGTCCGAACAGTTTTTTCGTGAGTCAATTTGTATTGAGGTTAACTTTTGAATCGTATTGATTTGGCGAATGCCTCTTTCATTAATCCTCGGAAACCGTATTGTATCACTTATTTTGATTGGAATTGTTATAGGTTGGTGCGCGTCTCATTGCTCATGCTGGCAGTTTAACTAATCTTGCAAAATATCCAGCATCTACAATACAAATTTTAGGTGCTGAAAAAGCTCTCTTTCGGTAAGGAATTTTCTTGTATAGAGTATTTCATAATTCTCTTTTTCTAGAGCATTAAAAACTAAAGGTAATACACCGAAATATGGTCTTATCTATCATTCATCTCATATTGGTAAAGCAAATACACAAAATAAAGGTCGTATATCACGTTATCTTGCAAATAAATGTGCAATTGCATCACGAATTGATTGTTTTTCTGGTTTGTTTATCTTGACAGAAAATATGTATTTTTAAATTTTAATATTTTAAAGAAATTCCAACAACTATTTTTGGTGATCATTTAAAACAACAAGTTTCAGATCGTCTGAAATTTTATGATAGTGGTGAATTACCAGCTAAAAATGTTGATGTTATGAAAATAGCTTTGGACGAAGCAAATATTGAACGTGAACAAATTTTACTAAAAGAAAAAAAACTTAAGAAAAAAGAGAAAAAACGTCGTAAAGCAGAAGCTGCTGCACTTGCTGAAGAAATGGAATAAAAATTTTCTCAAATGTATTGTTGTTTATTTGAATGAATTCAATTTTTTTTGTTACTCGTGTCGTTTGTTTTGTTATAAATTCAAAATAAAATAATTCTCATTGAACTTACTACGTAATCAAGAATGCTTAAGAATAGATTTATTCATTTAAATAATAGTGTTTCTTTTATTTGAAATTAACAATTAAAATAAGAAAAATATTTATTGCTACTTGTTCAAACAATACTTCCTGTTGGATTTACATTCCAACGTTTACATGGTAATTGATTTTGTTCACCCATTTTAACAAATGTATATGCAAATAAACCGAATAATGTTAATAAAATACCAAGAAATTGTTTAAAATTAAGATTATCTTGAAACAGCATAAAACCACCAACAAGAATCGAAACTGTTTTCATATGTCCAATCATATTATATGTTAATACCGATCTAAATTATAAATACAGTTTTCATATGATAAACAGATTAATGAAATCATTATCAGAGTTTTAAAATCTAAGCCTAGATATATTATCATAAAACGCTGAATGAATTCGATGATTATATCGTACTGAAAAACATTGGTATGATTTTCAAGCTTCTTATGAAACGAAATCGAAACTTTTTTTTCGCGCATCGTAATATTAGATCTTATATATTAAAGTCTTTTCTTCTATCACTTACGTATTTTTGATAACCCAATAAACTGATAGATTAACAGCAAATGCTACAATGCCTGACGCAACAACCGCCATAAATGCTGTTTGTTGTTCTTTACTTGTTTTATACGATGGTAAACTTTCCATATAAAGAATAAGTGGTACAAGTAAAACAGCTGATAATGGTGCTTGATAAAAAAGTAATTGTTGTGGGCTCATATCTAATTCTTTTGAACGTTCACCAACCCAAACTTGATAAAGTGATGCTGCTAATACACCAATTGAGGCTATTATTGTACCAAAGAGTGTTAATTTAATATCATTAACCGAATGTGTACATACACCAATAACAACTGGTATTAATGTTGCTATCACCATTCTCGAATATTTTGTTTTATAATATTGCCATGATATAAGTGCAACAACAGGTGTTGTTAATACTTTAAATAATTGATATGTACCTACTGTATTATATTCTAATGATAAATTTGTAAAAACAACAAATGCACAAAATGCTATAGCTAATGGTAAAACTTTAATGATTGGTACAGTTTTACGAGTAAATGTATTCATTCTTAAACATATCAGTAAACCTAATGATGTAAATGCCATTTGTATAGCTGTTAATGTCATTGTCTTTATTTGACAATGTGTAAAAATATATTTATTAAGAAATATAATACCAATGGATGATATAATATTTGCACCACAACCTAATACAACACGAACTTGTTCTTGAAACACGGTTGATGGTGGACGCTTATTTGATGAATAAGATGGCGATGGTTCAACATTAACCTGAGAAGAAGAAAACAAAATATAGAAAATATATTGACATATTATATATGTAAAAACTATTGTTAAATACATACGAATGATGCATCATTTTTTTCTGCCATAATTAAAACACTCCCAGCAAATGTTAGTAAAAAAAGCTTATCAGTTCAAATCTACAAACACCGGATATAAGCAATATATATAAATTAGTTTATATTATATTCATAGTCCTATTATTTCTTTTTTTTGCGAGATTTTACTTTATATGACATGATAAGATCACTGTGTATATATAAAAATACAAAATTCAAAAGGCACAATGTTATACAAATAAGTAAAAAAATTAAATTATAGACAGGAATATAGAAATAAGATTACGTTAATAATTATTCAATAGAATATGTTCTGCATCATTTATCTTTTTTCTTTTGTCGAGGAACGATGCTTATTCGGTAAGTGTCATCATATAGTAAAAAAAATGAAGACAGGAAAAAGAGGAAAAAAAGCACATCGTACGGTATGGTTGTCATATGTTAGTGGTAAATCATGAGAGAGAAAAAATAGAAAGTGAGAGGTATATGAGTAAGAAAATGTCCTTTATATTAACGTGTCGAATGATTTCGTTGACTGTTTAAAAATAAGAGAGAAAAAGAGCAATAACATTTTTTTAGATAAATGTGATTTTAATACAAACTTTGTCGTAATAGAAGAACGGTTCGTAGGTATGCTTAAATTATATCCATGTTGTATTTGTGTATGAATAAGTTGTTCAACAGCATTACGTGCATGAGCTTGATCATATTTATCTTTTACTGCTTTTCTATCACAGGAAGGACAATGAAGAGTACCGGAACCTATTGAAAATCATATCTACTAATATTTATGTTTTAAATTATATCAAACTTACGAGCTTGTTCAATACGACCACCTTTACCACTACGTCTAGCTACATCTATAACTGATTCTTGTCTATCAAATGTATATAAATCAAGTTGAGCATCATGCATCACCAAGCAAAAAAAACATTCACCTTGTCCTCGACTGGCTGCTAGATGAGCCATAGTGTAACCATCATCTATAGTTATTAAAAAACACACAGATGTCATTGAATAAATTATTTTTATTCATCACAAATATATGGAAATAGATGCTGAAAAACTAGTGTTATTTTATGAGAATAATATATTCAGAAATTTGATTTCGTATAAACATTGTCAAACAAGCAAACGAGAATTTAGAAAGTTCTTTTGTCTAATGAAATTCCCGACGCATTATATATCCTTTCAACCATGTCAATTTTCATTAACTGTCAATGCAATATATTGATTAAACTAGCACTTAACAAATTTGATTAAACATATTATAAACCTTGAAATTTCGTCATTAGTAAAATAAACTTACTATCGGGTTGATCTATATCGATTATCTTTAATTCAAGTAACCAATGTAATACATCGGCTGATCCAAATAAAGCTGCCTATAATAAAAACAAAGATCATAAAATATACAGATTTTAATATCAAACCATATGCATAGGTGTTCGTCCTAAATTATTTTTATATTTTAATAAACTCCGTTTCTTTTTCCATATTAATTTAATACAATCAAGTTGATTATATTCACATGCTTCATGTGCAATAGTATTTCCATTTATATCCGTTATGTAAATCATTACATTTGATTGAATGAAGTAATTTAATACATTTTTTGCACCGTTTTTTGCAGCATAATGAATTGGAAATTTTGATTGTTTAGTAGTTATAGATAAATTAATATGATTTACATTAATAAGATACTCTAGAGTATCGACATGATCGTGCATTGCACTATAATGAGCAGCTGTTCGACCAAAACTATCTTGTACATTAATATCACATCCTATGAATAAATACAAGAAAAATTGAAAATAATTCCATGTATTCTTTCTTTTACCTCTTTTCGAAAGTATTTCAACACATTTAGTAGAACCATGACTAGCAGCGACATGAAATGGTGTTAGACCTTGAGAATCTTGTTGATCGATCAATGCTCCTTTATTAAGAAGTTCAGATACAAGTTGATCATTACCACTAGCACATGCTTCATGTAATGGTGTACGTTCCAATATATTTTGTGTATGTACACTTTGACCATTCTATAAATACGAATTAAATAAATTATTGATAGAAAAAAAAAGATAAACCTTAATTAATTGTCGAACAACATCGAGATGTCCATAGGAAGCAGCTTCAGTAATAATTGGTTGAAATGATTCTTTAAGTTGCATAACACGACTGGAATCATATTCACCTTTCGTAGGTTTTATTTCTATAGTATGAATTGGTAGAGGTGATAAATGTTCTTCTTCGATAATATTGATGACATCATTAGCAGGTGAAGCAGAATGTTCAGATTTAACTGGTGTTTCAATATGTATTTGTTTTTCTTCTTGATTATTTGATTCTTCATCGGATAAATGTTGTGAATCATTATCATCGCTACGTAATAAAGCTGATGTATTGACAGAAGATGATGATGCAGATGATGATGCACGAGATGATTTTGCTTCTTCAGTATTAGTACGAGATCGTGATGAACGACCAGTTTTCGGACGAGATGATGAAGATTTAATACGTTCATCTTTGTTTTCACTTGAATTTGGTGATTTACTTTGTCGATGAGTAGTATCAGATGCAGATAATTCATGCACTGGTTTTCTTTGTTCTTGTGTATCATTTAAATCTTCGACAGCTGGTGGTTTATGTATTCTTTGTGATTCACGAGATAAATTATTTGATCTATTCTCATGATTATCTTGAAGTGTTGAAGTCATATCGGATGAGCTCAGTTCTGATTTACCAGTATGCTCACGGGAATCTGTATCTGGTTTACTCTTGAAATAAAAGAAAAAAAAATCTTGAGAAGATGATTTTTTCTAAGACATACCACAGGTTTGCTTGATTCGAGATCTTCCTCATCATCAACATCTCCATCAATGCTATCATCATCATCGTTTAATCCAGTTATATGACCATCAATTAATCGTGACATATTAACCGATGGTGTACTATTAAATCTAACTGATTGTTTTCCACTAGTTGATGACGCTTGTCTTTTCTTCATTTCTGGCGTCTTAATATTCGAAGGTTTTTTATATTCAATCATTTTAATTTCATCATTAGCTACTAATTCATTTTCAAAGTCATCTTCATCTTCATTTTTATTATCAAGAGATACATCTTTAACTAAAGCAACAATATTTGGATTACGTATACCATATAAAGTCGATGATATAGGCACTTTTGGTTTCAGTTGTTTTTTTAATTTTTCACGATCAGTTTCTATTTCTCGTTGTAATAAATGATCACTGACACGACCATGTTTTCGACCATGTTCATCCAAATAAACAATAGGTTTGAAATTATCAAGTGGTCCTCGTAATGATTGAATAAATAAATTATCTTGTACACAATTTGAAAATGATGAATTAGCTGGTGTAACTAATTTTGGTCGTCGTTTATGTCGAGTAAGGCTTGCCATGAGAAATAAAAATACTAGAATAAATCGATAAGAAGAAGATTGTCATAAAATATAACATTTACTAGAGGAAAGAAAAATTCTATAACAATCTATGAATTAATTTAGACAAAAGAATAGATCGATCATGAATCATTTTATTGATTAATTTATGGTATTGTCGTTCAAAGTTAGATTTACATGCAAAATATCGATTGAAATACTTTTTTTGATGAATAGTTTATGTTTGTGTACAAATCCTTCTTAAACAAGAATTTTAATGTAAAATGTATGTCAAATTTAAATGGATAATTGATATTTTCACACCTTTAAATATATCTATGTTTATGTAAATTATTTTGATCAATATACTTATTTTATTCCATAGAGAACTTCTTTGTAAGATTGATTGCTAAGTAACGTTTACACACAAGGAAAAGAATAAGAATGATAACAAGATAAAAATAGAAAATTATTCTATTTTTCGAAAATTCTTTTATTTCAGATAAAAAAATTAGTTCTATAATTAAAATCTATTTATATAGTAACGACATCTGTAGTAAATAGATTTAATTTACAACAATGAGCATAGATACTAGAGAAAATATAACATGAAACAAGAGAATACTATTCATTAATTTATTCTTTTATAATAACTATTGAAAATATTAATATTTTTAGTTTTCTTTGAATGACTAATACAATTCAATTGCATATAAATATCGAACTATTTCTAATTGTGCATTAGACATACTTTCTTTTTTTATCAAATTGTTTAATAGTACGAAGGATTTTTGTAAGCTGTCAAATAAATTTAATAATTATTGAAACTTTTTTCGTCTATAGTATTTCTCTTTGTTCTACCAATGGAGAAAATTGTAATGGTCTATCAAACCCTAACTTTTTTTTTATCGATAAAGTTCAAATGTTATATTTGACAGATGTTAACTATATGAACAGGCACATAAACAGATATATCATATTTGATCAAATAGTGATTTGATAGATTACCAACAAGAAGTGACACAATCTATATTGTTAATATCATTAATAAACAAATTGCAAAGTAGAATTCTTTATATACATAGTCCTATTAATGTAGCATTATAGATGATGAAGAATCGAATTATTTTTTGCTTTGAATGTACCAAAATGTTTCAGAGAATCTCCTAAAAATAGAAATAAAATATTGAATGTCATAGGATTTTATCCGTTAGAACTCCTCGATCTACTTGTCAATCAACACTGGTGTATTTATCCAACAAATGCGAACAATTGTTGAGTGTGTAGCTAACTAAAGCAAAACTTGACATTCAAATTCACATTTAACCTAATTACACCGCTTTTTTATAGTGACATAACATTTGATGTCAATAATTAACTTTTTTTGTTATTCTCTCTTCTAAAAGAAAGGATTATATAGCGTTTAAACATCTCGCCTTACAATGACTGATTCGGAACATTTGTCAGTTGAAGCCAATCAGGAAAAAGCACAAGCTGCGAAGGTAATAATGCTGTGTGAGGGAGTAAATAAAACATCCTCACCCTCACCGATACTGTCAAGATGGTTTGATAAACTTTTTTATGCAGATATATTATGCCACCGGATGAAATCTTTTATAAGATCAAAACATTCCTTCAGTATCAGTTTGATAGACTCATGTGAAGTTCTGTAGAATATACACCCAATTCTTTCTTTTTGCATATTTGAGCACTTCTCCTCGATTTTATTTTAGAGAATAAAACAATATGAAAAGTGCACAACAGACAGACGGACAAGAAGCAATATGAACAATGTTGCAAACAATGTAGTTTGTATAAAGTTGACATAATTTCTTTTACTCTTTAAAACTTAGTCTGACAGACACATCAATTATTGCACAAAATTTCTTCATGAGTCTCTATCTCTATAACCATCGTTTGCTGTGTTTGCACCATTCATTGTCCTTCAACATGTTGTTTTTTCAATTGAGGATCATCCACAGCGAGATATAAGTGAATGTTAAGTATCTCTTTCCAAAGATAATTTTCAAATGTAACAGTACATTGATTAATTTATCACGAGAAGCAAATAAATAAATAATGTCTTTTGTATTTATTATAATAGTCATTTCATTGAAACTGAATGGACTGATTAAGGAGAAGCACGCCGTCGAATACGATTGAACGATTGTTTAAATGCTTTCATATACAATTCCGAAGGAAAGACAAAGATAAGAAAGATTAGCATCGAAGGAGTAAATGAAATGAAATATGCTCCAAGATACAACCACAAGTTCTCAGATGTTTTCGCACAACCAGGGAGTAATGAAATGATAAGACGAGGTATTGATAAAACGAGTAAAACTATTGGACTAATGATTAATTGTTTATGTTCACTGAATTGCTCTTTAACATGTTCCTTAAAACTTTTGTTAGTTTGTGCCACCGATCGTTGTTGAGCACCTCCAAAGATAATGAACAATGCAGAGAAAAGATTGATAATAAATGGACCCATAAGATGAAAAAAAAGAATGACTGTATTGTAATCTTGAACAGCAGAAGAATAATGAGTGATACATGACACATATCGCTCGATTGTGTCGTCATTATTCTTACTCGTATCTGGTGCTGTTTCATATTCGAATAATCTGCGAAATACGAGCTCGTGAATAAGTGTACCAAAAATGCAGAACGGTAAGATAAGAATTGTTCGTCGAGCAATAGATTTGCTCTTTCTTTTATCAAAGTTTACTCCGTTAAAAATAAGTAGTGCTCGTTCAACTGCTACACAAGCATTAAGCCAACCATCCAAGTAGAGAAAAAGTTTTAGAATCGGTTCAATAGAAGCACACCCTCCACGAAGAACAGAGAGACTAGTGGACACATTGATATGAGTAAGAACAACAAACCAGAATTTGATTACGAACATACTAGTTGTCAAAAGAGAAGTAATCGATGATGTTAATAAATACATTCCGCATCCGACTTGCTGAGAATCTTTATGTTGAAATGTAATAAAAGAAAGAATGCTATTGATCAATCCTGCGACAAACATAATTATTGTTAAGCCCGCACTTAGTTTGATCGAAAATGATTGATTATTCAACACTGTGTGTGGTTGAAGTTCATTGCGTAAAATATCATCGAGAGTCAAACCAATTCCGTTGGTGTAAAGGATTTCTACAAATAGAAAAATTATGGAAGAAACTTTTACTTTTGCAAGATTCCGAGTCTTCGAAAATTCCATATCCATAAAGATTTGGAAGAGTGTAACCAGCAACAGTCAAAATATGGAACACCTATTTACTACTCATGCTAAACTGATGTTTTTTTTCTAACAAATTAACCGATTCAAAGATTCCGGAAACCATTTAGTTCAATAACTCGATAGATCTTTTTTCAAAGCCTAGAACAACAATTATTGGCTAATCAGAAAAAGTACAAGAAATCTTCTTTTCACGTGTTTCATGCCATTACATATTTGTTATCGAATGAATCATATAAATACTTACTGAAAGGACTAAGACTGACATTGTTTGGTCCAGAGATATAAACAGAAAAGTTCCCAATTATTTTAGAATAGTGTGTTGTTACGACTAATACGTATCGAGTGTTGATCTCAAGATCGATAATTAATTTGAATTGACCATCATTACATGTGCCGTCATGTGACAGAAGTAAGTTTTCAGATGGTTTTAGAGGATTAAAATCATTTTTATAGATATATGCATATGGATTAATATTACTTTCACTCCAAAGGATATACAAACCCGCTGTATTAACATGAATTTGTAAAGTTTCATAATGACATTGTGGTACTTGACAATCTCGATAATATGTTGGGCTATCATGAGTTAATTTTGATGAATATATCAATTGAATATTTACTGGAGTACCTGTTAAAAAAAAACAAGTGAAACAATTCGTAGAATTCCGATACTATTACAAATTTGTGTCTTCCACATTCCATTTAGAAAATATTTATTTACTAATAAAAAAACAGAAATAGGTGGACGATGATTCGTTCATAAAATTATTATTTGAAATCGACAACAGTGAAATCTTTGAGATTTTCTATGAAGATTCAATTTTATAAATAGAGATTAATAAATTTCCCAAACCGACATTCTCCAAGTTAGTATTCTAAAACAGTTTGCCGCACAAATCTAAAACTACTGAGCTACAACAAGATACTCTTTGAGTTTTCAGCATTTGGCTATCAAGTGTTTTCAAACATCTTACCATCTATTCTTCATAGAACATTCTTTATTTAGTGTTTGTGGAAACTGAACCGTATCCATTTACTAAGATGATGTTAGCAAAATATACGAACAAATATCCTGCTAAAAATGCTTTCTTATCAGATACTATAAGTTCAGTACATTCTCCAGGTACAGAATAAAAGGTGGGATGAATTTGAATTTAGAACATATATTATATATTTTGTATGAAATATTTAATATATAACACAAATCTCTATATACTTACTAAAACGATCGAGAATAACTTTGTTTTCACCAAACACAACAATCGAAAATTCTCCAGTTTCTTTTGGTTCATATGTTGCTATGACCAGTACATATATTGTGTCAACAATAAGATGAATATCCAATTTAAAATGAATATTGGAACCGTAGCCATACTCTTTATCGAGCAAGTTCTCCAATGGATCAAGTGGATTAAATTTGTTTTCGTAAATAGATCCATACCCATCGATGTCACCACTGCAATGAAAAGTGTAGTAACCACTTTCGATTACCTTCACTTGAATCGATTCATAATAAAAAAATTCCTTCTTACAATCTCGGTGATACATTTGATTGTTGTCAGTCAATGATGATGAATAAGTTTTTTGGAAAACATAGGGAGCAATGACTAAATGAACAATAAAATCGACTGAAGTTTATTGTAAGAACACAAAGATGCAAGTGTTTTTTGAATAGAAATTTCTATTGACTTTAAATATGCGTTTCTAACCTATTGAACTGATTAGTTGTGTTTAAAACGAGAAACTGTCTCTCTATCATAATGCATTTGCAATGAATTGAATTTTTTCTGTAGTATTATTTGTTTTCCGACAATTTGAACGGAGAAAAATATTGTGCGTATTGAACAGTGTCAAAGAGAATCTAATGAAATTGTTTGATCGACATGCACAACACAATGCTTGGCTTTTACACAGAACTTGAACACTCGAAACAAAATCTGGCCAGTGAAGAGAGAAAGAAAAATTTCTAAATGGTTAGATTTAATTGAGAATTTTTTTCGCAACCAATCAAATAAAACGGAATATTGTTCACGTTGATTAAATAGTTTCTACGTAACATCTAACAAATTCTGTTTTATTCTTTGAATAACAACCAAAATCTCTAATGATTTTTCTGATCAAATTGTTATCCTCACATCTTGAGAGTGAGAATTTTTGAAAGAAGAATATCTATGATCAATTGAAATTTCATATTTAAAATAAATTTGCTAGTTTTATATTAATATTCTTAAATTAATTAATTATTTCATTTACATAACTTTATCGTTTTTCGATGAAAGAAGTTTCATGTACAGTATTTTCTTTTGTTTCCAATCTCAGTTTCTCCTAACAAAAACTATACAGCTTTTCATTATTACAACATTCACATCTCATCATCTTGTTCGGTTATACTCCGACTTACCACAAGATTTTTTTAAATACTTAAATTTTTGAATTCGATCATTTCCTCGATCAGTAACAAACATGTTTCCAGAATGATCGAAACTCAAACCAACTGGATTATTCAATTGATTGGATTTTGAACTTACTGCATAACATCCAACTAAACATCGAAAACCATCCAAGCCTGAACGAAAAATGCGACTACTGCCTTCATCCACAATGAATAAGTATTTTTCAGCATCTAATACAATTGCACTTGGTAAAAGAAGTGTAATTGTTCGAGGGAACGTTAAGCTTCCAGCCACTGTAGTACCATTTAATTCTCCTGAGTGGAATAACTGAACTCGATCATTGAAAGAATCTGCCACATATAAATCGAAATTCACATCGATAAAGATTCCAAGAGGACCACTGAGATGATCCGAGTGTGGTCCTTTCATACCTGTTCCAGCAGCAATACGATTTGCATTCATCACAGCATCATTTAATGATCTTTTCACTACTTGATGATGATCGTTCATTGAACAGTAAAGAGTATCATTGATATCAACAAACAAACTAGTACATCGTGAACTGACATTCATCACCGTAATAAAGGTACTTGCTTCTGCTATCCATTTCTGCACTCGACCATTCCTTTCACCATCATCAATATAAATATCACCATTTGATGTCACGAAGAGACAATAGGATCTTGTAAAATTACCGGGAATGATCTTTTTTGGACTGACACTGTCTTCGTGCCATATTACAATTGTGTTATTTTCTCGATTAGCAACATAGATTGTGTTGTTTGTGCTCACAAAAATGGCCATAGGATATTGACCAACAATGGATCGATTAGCAAAAGTAATTCCATTTGAATCCCAAATAGGTGTTGAAGAAAACTTTGGTTGATTGAATGAAAGAGCTAAAAACAAGAAAAATAGAAAGAATAGTAGAGAAGAATTGGAAACAAAATGATATTGTCTATTTATGTTTTTTCTTGAAAAAAGTTATTGAGATCAATTTTGAAAGGATTTCTATGATTGTTGTTGTATTTTCTCGGATGATTTGTAAATATAAACTAAGAGAGGGCTGAATTCATCGAAGAAGATTCACTTTATTTATTGATTTGTTTTATTGTAAAAGAAAAATAATTATGTTTGATCCTTAAAAAGATATGATTAGCACTGATGATAAAAAACTAATCAACTAAATTTTTTTATTTGTTCAGCGAAAATGAATTTGTAGGAGGAAAAAAGAAATTGTTGAGAATGAAAATGACTTTATTGAAATTGATTGATATTTAAATAAAATGCCTTCCAGTTTCAAAATCAACCCTCATTTTTATATGAAAAACATTCTGAATATTTTAATGTTAAATCATTTTAATTCAATCTAATACGTGAAAGGAAGGAGATAATTCTCTTGCTAATCTTAAATTAAATAGTCACTCGAAGGAATTATTTAAGAAAAATATTTTGAGATAAAAATCAAATAAAAATATTCTTTTTTTTTCTTATCGATAATCATCGATTTCTTTTAAACATGATAATAACTTCTATGGATTTAGCCTCTGCTTCAAATGTTATCTTACTAAACAATATTCTTTTATGATAGTCTAGTGATAAAAGTGGCAGTGTCAGTCATGAATTTGCACTTGCAAAGTAGTTCTACATTATCATATGATTTGTGCTCTTTCTTTCATTCTAGCAGATGTATTTATTTCTACAGCATAAAGGTTAATACTTTCTCACAAGTAATCCTGTATCGAAAGTTTTGATGAAAAATATTTATCATTTCATTGATCAATCAAATTCATTTCTACAAGATAATGTCATATGTTCCAAAACAAGATTTTTTTCTTTTGTGTAGCTCAAAAGTTTTAAATCCTTTTTATTTTCTATAACACTAAACAATATATATATAGAAGTAGATGATCAGCTGACTTGATACCTCAGTTCTATTTTTATCCATAAAACTCTTTGAGGACGTCAAACACGACACAATGATTTTATCAGTTATAGTATTTTTCATATAATGGATTTACATCTTATCTTAAATGAAAATAGTCAAATAATCTCACAAAACTTTGTTTTCATTTACATCAACCTGTTCATCTTTTCTTTTTTTCATTTTGATTTCATCTGAAAAACTCAATCCATCCTTTTTTTGCATATGTTATAATTCGATATGATGAAATAGATTTCTTCCCTGTCTCTTGTGTCTCATTCTCATCTCAATATCAACAAACAAATCTGATATCAAGAGAAGATTTCAGTAAGGTTCAAGTTTTCAATCCTTTTGAAACTATGAATCAATACAAACTCAGATATCTACAATACCATCAATCAGTATTCCAACTTATACTTTTAAACTTAAACTACACTCATTCTTCTAACCACAAAAAAGTTTCGCATAGCCGCTACAAGAGATCGATACCATCACTTCTGAGTATATGACAAGAATTCCTGTCAAATTCTATAATCTATTATTTCACTCCCTTTTTTTCAACTAAGACTCTAACCAATAATGTCATTTTGTACAACAGCTGAAGTTCAGTATGTGATAAATAAAAGTATTTACCTGTTGTTTCATTGTTGAGAATGAACAGAAGAATAATGACAAATACGTACATATTCCACATCATTCAACAAGATTTTGTTTTTGATAAATTAGTAAACTACTAAAATAATCTCCTTCTTTTTTTGTCTTCGATGAAAACAAAATGACACTGGTTGTAGATTTTCTCTCCAGTTATATGTCTCTTTCTCTTTTTCTCTCATTTATTTCTTCCAATATAACACAAAGAGAAAAAGATAGTGCTATAAACAAGGTTTTCCCGTAGATAAGATAAAAAATTAATTTTAGATTTGATTAATGAATAAAATTCATGATTTTATTCGATATCTTTCATTGAATTTCATTCTTTTCCAAATTCAAAAACATAGAATAGAATTTAAATTCAACGTAATCTTTTTTTTTGATTTTATAAAAAATCAAAAGATTTTAGTGAAGACGAACGTGATGAAGAGAAAGGAGAGAATTGAACAAAATCTGCATTAATCGTCGGACGTGTTTTAACCCAAAATAAGATATCAACTATCATCGTCAATGAATAAGTCATGAACACTTTGATATTATTTTGTCTGGCTCTGTTAAATAATCTGTTTTGTCATGACTCACTTTTAATCACGTTCTTTCTTTCTCTATGCGCAATAAATATTTTTTGTGAAAAGTTTCTTTCTCTCGCTATTTCGATCTGTTTTCGAATAAAAACTCATCGGATATATAAAAAGGATGTGAGTGGGGATGAAAAATGACTATACTTTCCATATCTCTGCTCATGCGTACATAGTCACACCTTTCAATATATACAAAGAATATTCTTGCCTAACTTGAATAAAATATTTATCTTATAGAATAATTCAAAATCAACAAAGTTTCATTTTTCAAAGAATTTATTACTATGTTAAGACACTTTATTTATTTTGTTTTATCACAAAAGTCAAAATACATAACAATTACTGACATATACACACAAAATATAGATATATTTATTTATATTATAACAAAAAAAAGAATTAGAGAAAGACTAGACATTTGATTCTGTATTGGACTTATTATCATTCGAAGATATTCGTTGTTTTTCATTTATTTTTTCGTTTGCTAAATCATTTAATTCATTCCAAAAATTAACTAAACGATTATTATCATTGGCACAAAATGCTCGAAAATCAGCTAACATAATATCTTGATATTTTTCTTCACCTGTTTGAGAACTTCGCCATTTTTTCCCCAAACAAAAATTCCAACACCAATAAAATCCATAATCAAGTGGAGATAATTGATCATCACTAGTTCTTCCTGTTGATACAACACGTGTTGGTCGATTATTATAATGAACATTATAAACATTTGATATTATATAAACTAACATACCACCACTAATATGAACATAATAAATCTTTTCATTTTTATAACTAACACAAGCATTTAAAATAAAACCATAACTAAAAATATTTTTATTGAATAAATAGAAAATAAATTAGATCCAACAAACCGTTTTAGAATAAGTTCTTGAAAGATATTTATTCGAAGAATTTGATCTTTGTCAGGAAGATTAGCAAGTTTATCACGAAGACATAACGAATTTATTTTTATATAAATTGGACCTAAATAATATAAAAGTTTCTTATCTATTCTGTTACTTATGTTGAATATAAATACCTCTAAGTGCATCAAATTCAGCAAATGGATCACATGGAATTGGTACAAGATGAAATGCAACTTGATTTGAACCAAGTATTGTTCCTGTACGTTGTGACCATTGTGTAATTAAATCTCCAAGTATACATGATGTAGCGACAAGCCATCGAATTTCAAGTTCAAATAAACAATGTGGATTATAAAATGAATGATAATGTGCTGTTGCCCATTCACGTCTATCTGATATATGTTTTGGATCAACATCAACATTACAATCACGTTTAAGAACAATCGATACTTCTTCTTCTAAATTTTCATTATTTGTATTTGAAATTGAAGATAAATTAACATCGTTCATCTTAAATCTTTCTCTTCGAACTTTTACTTGTGGATTATCAATTAACTTTGGTAATAAACGCATTGGTTTACATTCACCAAAACCTAAATAATCCATTGATGGAATATATGTTTGAGTTTGATGAAATTCGACTTCAGCATAATCATTCAAATCAAGAGAAACTAAAAAGATAAATAATAAAAATAATTTCAGAAAAAATAAAAATAAATATTTACAAGTTTGTGTTCTTTCTGTTACAATATAATAGAGAAAAAATCCAAAACGAAAACTTGTTTCGATATTTGTACAATGTCGAATATGTCCTTCAGTAAATAAAAACTAAAGATAAAATATTAAAATTTCATTTTCTTTTCTTTTCTAAAATATCTACTTGAAATAAATCTAAAGCTGTTTGTTCATTTTCTATATCTTCACAATGTTCAATTGACCACCAAATAGCTTCAATTGCAATGAAAGTATGTTCTGGTAATACAGAATCTTTGACGAATAATAAACCTTGTTGATCATCTCGAAATAAATTTAATAAATTATTTATTGCATCTTTATCACCAGACATTATATCAGCTAATTTAAATGTTTCAATTGTAATTCTAAGAACAAACAAAACAGTTAAATTAAGAAAAATTATAAAATAAATCTATCTTACAAAGTTTTTCCCTGACGTTTAGGAGGATCAATTCGTTTTTTACCAGTTAATGGATCAAGAGGCTAAAATAAAAACAAAACAAAATTTTTCTTTTATCAACTTAAATTTTGTTCTATTTTACTCGATGTATACATTCAGTTGATCCAATCGGTACTCGATTAAGTTTATTAAGCATAAATAAAAATCGAACAAAATGTTCAACATAAAGAAAAAAATCTTCATGTGACATTTCTTCACGACTATCACATTTTGTTTGACCAGATTCAATATTTCGAATTGTATAATCTTTTGAGACAGGCATAAGAACAAGACGTGTATGCCAATATTTTATTAACTAAAAATAAATAACATGAAAAACAAATATATCTTCCTCGACAAGTAGAGAGTTATCTATTATATTCTAAAGGCGACTAAAAATTTCATAGTAAATTTTACCCAGGAATGAGACGTGTAGATTTGTAGAGAAAAATTTTCTCTATCGAATTCTATTGAGTACCGTAAAAATCGATTTTTGGCTTGAATTCAAGCCAGTTAGAGACATGAATCCAACTTTCTTTTGTATCCGTGAACCTCAATAAAACATTGATTTGGACCCTCAAAATACATCAGTTTGTAGAGAAAACATCAGAGAACAAAATCTTCACCTTAAAAAAAATGAATTACACCCAAGAGATTTAGTTGATTCCGATACAGGTCTCTAACCGGCTTGAATTCAAGCCAAAAATCGATTTTTACGGAAGGGTAAAATTTTACTATGAAATTTGTAGTCTCTTTTTAATGGTTAATTGTGTTCTACTCTCTCTCTATATTATGAAAAATAAGAATTCTATTTCATCTATACATACATCGGATAACTTATGATCGCCTGTACCATGATTTCCAACAACATTATCAACTGAATTCCATGGAAATGATTCTAAACTATCCAGTTGTAATTCATAATATGCTAAATCATAATCTGAAGAATCTGGACATTGAAAACGATATTTATACATAACAGATTTGGGTTGAAAAACATATCTTAATAAATTCAATTGAAATAGAATAGAATATTTAACTTTATTTTACTAACTGAGGTTTATGTTGCTGTACATAAATAACAACTGTATCTTGTGATTGACTTTCTTCTGTTACAAGACTTAATGTATGATATATTCTACCGATACTTAATAAACGATTATATTCAGTTTCTTTACAACCAGCTCGTCGAATTGAATCAATCATTTTTTGATGAATATGTGCAGGAATATCAACAATCATTTGAAAACCCTAAATTTGCAAATATTCGAAAACAAAATTCTTCTTTTAAATATCTCACTTGTGATAATCGTTGATCAATTAATTCATCAAAAGTTATTCTTTGACGTTCCATATTATCACATCTAAATTAATTTTAGAATCTCAAAACAAAAAAACAAAATCTATGAAATCTTACGGAGTTGATTTTTCATGATTATTACTTGCATTTAACATATGTTTTATCTTTCGATCATATTCATCTTGTGGTGGTAAAGCATGAATTAATGTATATGAATTATGTGTATAATCACGATTTAATTCTTCAGCAGATGGTACAACATCAAATGTTGTTGGAAGTGATGCTGGAATAGTTAAAGATTTCCAATCAATACCAGTAATCATCGATGCACTCCATGGTTCAACACCAGTGGGTCCCCAAATAATAGCTTCTTTTTTTTCTCCTAAAACAAATTTTTGTCTCGAAAACAAAATCTAAAATATTTATTTAACTAACTTTTCGAAGTTAATGATTTCATTGAACCATCAGCATTCGATTTCTTATGAGTATTACTACTACTGAAACTTAATCGAGTATCATCCGTAAAACTATCTTTACGTTCAGACGCATCACGTTTATTCAGTTCATAATTAGATGGGCTAAGAATACTAAAAAACAAAAAGTATGTAATATATCGAAATAGTTATTCATTTTACCGTTTATGTCTTGCAGATAAATCATTAGGGATTTTTCCATGATATCTCGTTCGTTTTGATACAAGACCATTTAAAATTCTTTTTGATGTACCTGGCAGGACAAGATGAGCACAAGTAGAAATTCCAATAGATAATTCTTCTTTTGTTCGATTTTCTGTTTGACGTAAATGATGAAAATGCCATGGTAATTTATTTGGACCCATTGGAAATGTATGTGCCCATCGACGTCGTCCTGGTACCATTGGTATTCGAATACTAGCAGGTGCAAATGGATTTGTTAATGCTTTTGGTCGTGCTTGTAAACGAGCAAATAAATTTGATACTAAAAAATATGTCTCAGCACTTTGTGCTGCACCACGAGATGAACTATGTGGATTATAAAATAAAACTTGCGATGATTGATTAAATGTATGATGAAATGGAATATTGCCCATAATACTAGATGATGTTCCAGCATGAGATGTAGAAAGAACAATATCATCTTTTATATTTGCATTAAAATGACGAAAATCATCATGCAATCCAAATATTGGATGAGTATTATTAGTTTTATTATTATTATTATTATTATTAACAATTACCAATCCATTTTGATCTTGGATACAATCTTCTTCTTCTTCGATTGAAGGAGGATCTAGAATAGAACATATATACATACATATTGAATCATCTTATACACATACATTCTAAAGTGACATGTCGTCTTCGTGGTACTCGAATTTCAGCTTTAGTTGGTTTATCTGGATAATTATCTTTTGATAAACTATGAATAAGAAAACAGAATAATTTATTTTTATAGTATTTTCTATTTACGATTTTGTTTGTGTTCGAAATACTTGAGCATCATATTCTTCCATTGATAAATGTAATGGTTTCATAAATGGTTCTTCTGCAATGGAATTCATCACATTTTTAACCTCTATATTAGACAAATATTTAAAGAAAAATGTTTTTATTTATTTTTTTCTTCTACCTAACATTCCACCTTGAATTCGATTTGTATCAAATGGTAAACGTGGAATGTAACGTTGGAAACATGATGGTGTTGTTGAATTATGATAATAACTAGAAGAAGAAGAATTAGAAGAAGAAAATATTAGAAATATTTTAATTTAAACCTTAAATTCATCCAATGTGGTATTTGATAATCATCAGCTGTATTTGGATTTTCTTTAAAAAATTTAAAAAGTGGTACAGCAAATAATGGTTGTTCACCTAAACAAACGAGATCACTTCCAATACCATTATCTAATACACGTTGTTTAGTCATATTTGCTAATTCACGTTCAACTTCAAATACACCAGCACCAGGTGTTATAACTAAAGACATTTGTCCAAGACGATCAAATGGTCGATCAATAAAATGACGTTCAAATACTAATAGAAAAAAATTTTTTTTTTTTCATTTAATAATACGAATGAATACAAACCACTAGATGATAAATTTAATGTTTCAAGAAAATTTCCATCAGCTGCACATGAAATTGTTCCATTAGGCATTTTTTCAGCTTCACATTTTGCTAATTTCTTTTTATGATAAGTAAGAAGATCTTCCTTATAATTAACAAGTACTTGTTTTATTTTTGCTAAACGAGGTAACCAATCATCATAACGTTCATTTTGATAAATTACACTAAATAAATTAGAAGTAGAATATTGGTAGCTATAAGATATTCATATAGATTTTTAGTTTTTTGTACTTATCTAGTATCATACTAGGAATGCAACGATATCGATTAAACAATATAAAGCGATATCTATGAATATTCGAAGAGATTCATCAATATTGACAACTTAAAATGACTCCTTCAATGTGAAAAACAGCATTACAGTATTATAGCCATTACAAACTCACATCCAATTAAGATGGAGTTACCGGCGAACTGACTTTTGCATTTCTATACTATTCTCTGTAGCACAACTTCAAATGCATTGAAATTATGTTTGTTACATAAATCGTTTAGAAACATTATATACTTCTTGAATACTATAATAATTCTGTATATTTAATTATCCTAACTAAATACTTATATAGATCTTGCTAACAATGAATGATTATCCTTCTAGAATTTTAAAAGTGTTTCGAAGGTAGAACACTCATTTGATTTACTGATTCATCTGATCAAAGACCGAAACTTACAAAACAAAACAGTTTGTTTGAAATATTTATAAAGTATAAAGACAATGATTATAATTAAATTAAATTCTATCAGGTGGAAATATAACCAAGATCAAAGAGCTATTTCATTTCACACATCTCTTTTTGTATATGATCGTTTCTAATAATTCGTTCTTTCAGAAATAATGTTCAATCCATTGATATTTTCTTTAGAAATATATATATTAGCAAAATATTTTACCGATAGAAATCTTCATAATATCTTCCTCGATGATCTGTATTAATATTTTCACGTAAACTTGTTGGAAAATCTTCCAAACATTTTGCATCATAAAAAACTCTTGAAAATAACGTCATTGTTACATCATGTTGACAACTCATTGACTTAAACAAAAAATAATTACATATTATATTTGTAGATTTTCTTTTACCTTCCATCGAGTAAATAAATCAAAAAGAAATCCATCAACAGCTTTTTCATAATATGTATCACCATGATGATCAAAATCCCACATTTCTTTTGACATTTGTAAAAATATAGTACAACAAGCACTTAATGAACGAAATACAATCTAATAATAAAATCAATGACGAATTTTAATATTTATAAAAATAAAAGTTACTTTAGTATCTTTTGTTATATAACCAGAAGACACACGATATGGTGCTGCATCAACCCATAAACCATAAACTGTGGCACTAAGAAAGTAATTTTTTGATTATTATTTTAATACAAAGAAAAAAAATGACTCTTTTTTACCGCATGCCAAACATTTCTAATGCTTTTTTTAAATAAACAGTTGTGTTAATCTTTATTATAAAAAACAATCATTTATTATATCTTTATTTGTAAATGAAAAAGAATATTTACTAATTTTCGAGTAAATCTCCACATATCACCTCGACTTAGATATTGTTCTTTAACTTGTAATTCGACTAAATAAAGTGCAAATTTCTAAAATCAAACAAAAGAAATATATATACTAATGAGATTCCCGATTAGTTGCTAACTTTTTAGTAGTTGATCTGTTATATTTATATAATCCTAGATACAACTCTTTCACTTTCAACATATAATGGTAGTTCGAGAAAAGTTATCATTTTATTTGGAGTTTTTATATTATTTTTAAAGTTCATAGTTTTTTTTCTGTGAATTGAATTCATCAATATGATTGTCTTGCAACTTGTAAACTAGTTGAAGTTATCTTATTGTTATTCGACATTCATTATTACAAGTATCAACTATATTTGAAATCATTTTCAATCTTTGATCTCTACTGGTAGAAAGTTTACATTCGATTTTCATATATATGATAATATTATACAGAATACTATCAAGTATGTGTTTAAATATGCAAGGAATCAACCCTATTAAATACCTTAAGATAAATGTATAATACATTCCATTAGCATTATTCATGAGTTGTGACATGTGGGAAGAAAAATAGTTTTTCCCACATACTTATATGCATATAAAAGAATTTGTAATATTCAAATAAATTACCTCTTTAGCAACAACTTTTTGTACTGCATGATAATTTCTCATAAAACTAATTACAGAAAATGTTCTTTTAATTGATTCATCGATAAGAATTTCTATTAGAAAAACAAATAATATTTACATTAAAATTTTACTGAATTACCTGGATTTACTGATGGACCAGTACGTTCTTCATCAACTTGCATAACAAGTTTTTGTGTACCATCATCATTTAAACTTATAACAAATAGGTCACCTTTATGTAAATTTGTTTTATTATTAATAAGTGTTGGTGCACTAGCATCTAAATATTACAAATATATTATTCTTTATATAAGATAAACAAAACGAACTTTGTCCACGTCCATAAAAACTTAATCGACATCGAAATCTAAAATAAGATTAAAAGATTTGACAGGACAGGAAAATGAAATTACTATTGAAATATTATATACATACGGTGATCCTTCAAATATAGATTCATCTGAGGTTGTATTTGTATTTGATTCACCGGTTGATACCATCTTATATGGTTAGAAATGACTATTGTTATAGTGAAGCATAGATGTATGTTACATGATAAGAATTGAGATAAAGAGATATTAACACAGCTGTCTTTTTAAAAGGTGATCAATTTGTCAAAAATCATAACCAATGGAATTAAGAGTTATCTTTTCTTTTCTAGTGCCCTCTTACGATACAAAAAGAATAAAATCGATACTACAAAGTTCATCTCTCCAATCTAAAATTAGTCCAATAGCTCGATTATTTCTTTATATATATAAACCATTAATCGTTCCTTCCTTTGTCAAATGGATGTTCCAGCAAATGAGCCGCATGATTATCTATTTAAATTATTATGTATAGGTGAAGCAAATGTTGGTAAAACAACATTTCTTCATCAATATATTCATGATAATTTTGCAAATTTTCGATCAACCGTTGGTCTTGATGTATTTGAAAAATGTATAACTACTCCTGATAATCAAAATATTCTCTTACAATTATGGGATACTGCTGGACAAGTTCGTAAAAATAGATTTATTTTAATATATAAAAAGTTTAGTTTTTATAGGAACGTTATCGTAGTTTAACAAAATCATTATTTCGTGATAGTATGGGATTTTTACTTTTATTTGATGTTACAAATGAATCATCATTTTTGACAATACAAGATTGGCTTACATATGTTGATACATATACTGGAGTTGATGATAATCTTCGACCACCTATTTTACTTATTGGTAATAAAATTGATTTAGTTACAAATCGAGTCATTGATACAATGCGTGCTCAACAATTAGCTAATGAACTTCAAATAACATATATTGAAACAAGTGCAGTGACAGGTACAAATGTACAAGAAACATTACGTTTATTAGTTAAAAATGTTTTTGATTTTATGGAACAATCAATGAAAAAATATTATCCTAAATCACCAGCGATCACATTGACAGCAGATGAAGAAAAACATAAAAGACGAACGTCAGTTCAATTAATCAATAAATTATCCGGAAAAAAACATTCATGTTCATGTACATAGTTTAAGTTCACTTTTTTTATACGATTTATTTATTTATTTAAACATAAAAAGACAATCCATATGGAAAATAAATTTTATACATTTATTATTTGACGTTCGACTGAAATCGATATTAGAAGTCTTGCATAATTTCATATCTCTAATGTTTAATTCTCTATTAAAATTATATAACAAAAGAACATTTTAAATATAATCTTTATATACATAGACTACATTCATATTCATGTATCAATAGAAATTTGGGCATTCTTCTTTATACTCGCATCTTCGTCTAAATTAAAATATGTGAAATCATTATTTGATAACCATCTGACCTAAAAAATAGTTTATGTAGACAGAATCGCTTAGATCCATTTGATTATTAGCTTTTACTATAGATTAACCTAACACAAATAGTGATTATTAATAATGTAGAAAGTTCGACAACTTTTACCAATTTTTCATAAATGTCAAAGGTGTAGGAGTGTATGTAGTGCTCTTAAATTACGAATGTGCGCGATAGATATCATGTATCATTTTCGGGATTTTCGAATTTCGTCAACTAGCTCTTCCGTAGGGTCATTGTCTGATTACACGTGTGTAAAAATAGCTTCTACTAACTATATTGAGGAGTTTACACTATGGTATACTTAATACAATAAAATGAATATTGAATAGTTTTATTAATAGTTTTGTAGAATTAACTAGAGCTTTCAGCACTTCGAGTGCCATCGTCAGTAGATGTTGATATACAACTTTTAGTTCATTATTTTGCTTAATCAATATCAACATCTACTGACGATGGCACTCGATGTGCTGAAAGCTCTAGTTAATTCTACAAAACTAATAATAAAACTATTCAATATTCATTTTATTGTATTAATTTCATCAAGATCTGTTACATTATTGTCATGGTATACTTATTCTATCCTAATTTTATGTTATTACAGTTGACGAGAATCTACTACACCTACGCCAAGTGACGCCTGAAAGTTTACCAATTAGTGAAGAGACAGTAAGCCGTATTTTCTTCTTTTATATGAACAAATGAAAATAGATCGTATGATAATATACTTTCATAATTCATTGAATCTGTTTATCGATTAAAACCGTACATTTAGAATATTATACTGTTCTATTTTATATTCAAACATTTCTTATATAAACTAGTTACTGAAGAAAATATGCACTATGTATGTTAAAAACAAAATATTCAAAAAATTAACAATCAAAACTTTTAGTACAACGTTGGATAGTAGAAAATCATAGGAACTTTCATTAAGATATACTTCATTTAGAATCTCAAGTATTTTATTCTCGAGTACGAGTACTTCGAGTACTTTGCCCACCTCTTATATGATCTAACGGTAGAAAATCAGATGATACTGTTGATGTGGCCTTGAAAAGTTTTTAATATCAAGATTTATTTGATATAATTACTGATAAAAGATGAATATCTAGGACTATGAAATTAATTATTGATACAGAATGATGAAAACCAGTTTATATAGTAGAACTTTATTATAAAACAATAGCAGAAGATGTTTGTTTACATGTATGAATGTAAAAAGTTGAGAGTTACATTCTACAATTGAATAGTAACTATAGAAAGAATAAGTCTATCATCAAATTTTATAAATAACTAAAAACTGTTCTATTTCCACTTAATAACTCAATATCAAAATGTAATACATTGAAGAACAACAAAATTTGTAATATGCTTTTATTATTTAGCATATTACCCTCATTGACATTCTCATAAACTTATGTCTTTTTGATAATCAATCTATTCATATAATCACACATCAGTTTTTTTCTTCTTCTACTGATGATCTTCTATGTCATTTTAGATGCACGTACTTGTCCATAGAGAAAAAACAGAACATCATTGAATTAGATTATCAATTTTCTCATTTGGGAAAAGATTCTTATATAGACTTGTGTGGACAAATTCATTAGGTTTTCATATGTGTCTTATTTCTCTTGCTTATAAAAAGAAAAATTTCAATCAACAATATTCTTAATATTCTCTTTTTGTTATAAGTCCAATTAATGATGTCTATTCTCCATTATTTTTTTTCTTCATCTTTATTCGGAGAATTACAAAGAGACAAAAAATGCAGATGAACTTTACAAAAAACGAGAATAAATTTGATTATCAGATCACACAGAGTATTTGACATCAGAATGCATGCGTAAGCACTCTTTATACATTGATCAAATACGAACGACGGAAAAATCTATTAATAAAACTACATTGACGACTATCTTTTGTTCGATATATATATATGAATTTGACCGATTTTTAACAAATCTTAGTTATAAAAAAAAAAGTCTTTGATTATCGTAATAGTATTCATTCAAGTAGAATGAAGTGTCACTCATTAGGAGAAAAAAATTTATATAATAACATGTTATACTTATAATATTCTACTATCTATCAATTGATCATTGAATAAAATACAACGACAAACGTATTTCTGATCATAACATAATGCCAATTATGTTTCTATTAATATTCGTTGTGTATATATGCCTCATTTATCAGTATCATTAATTATATGATTTAAAATAAAAAATTTCTTATTAGATTATTCGAATTTTTCTATTACAATATAATCATGATTATATCTTTGGACTAACTAACTTCTCAATATTTATATTCAATTGGTAAAGAACGAATAAGAAAAAGAGAAGAACTTCTTCTCCCAATCGTTTTTCTCTTATATATTGTCAACATACTAGAGTAACAATAATGTCGATGATAAGAATGAAGAAGAAGAAAAAAAGAGTCTCTTCTATTCACATGACCTCAATACAACTCATTCGATTATCAAGTTTCGAACAAAAATTCTGACAGACAACAGTTTGTGTTTTGCAAGTTTATCTATTCTAGTAACGAGTAAGACAATTAACCATAGGACGACATAGATAAGTAATGATCATCAACGATTCTAAAGGCGAAGAAAAAAAAACGTAGAAGAGATATACAATTTCTATCCTATTGATGTATGTTACCAGTACTATCTTATCTTCTATACATTGAACAGACAATTTCACACTTAATTTGATAGTAGTATCGTACCGATAGCTGACACTATAATAACACTATTAACGATTCAGATTGGATATATATATATATGTATAGAAGAATATTATACAATCTTTGATTATATATAAGCAAAGAATTGTATAATATATTTTTAGATTATTTATATTGATCAATGCAGAACGTAAAAAATTATTTTTCATCATGGAAGCCATTTTGGAAATCATCGACAAATGCTTGTCATACACGAACATTAACATTAGCACCATCAATAATTAATTTTACAGATTCAAGTTTAGGTGATTTAAAACATTCAGTAATTGATGAAAAAATTATGATTGATATATCAACAAAATTAATTGAAAGTGTTTCTCCACCAAAATTACAAATATGTGCACATAATAATCAATGGTTTGCATTAAATAATAGTCATTTACTTGTCTATCAACAATTAGAACGTATTGGACTTTGTGATACTGTTGGTAAGATTATAAATTTCAATCGACAAAATCTTCTTATTTTTAATAATTAGTTTGCGATATTATTCGAAGTCAAGATGTACCGATGGGTATTCGAGAAACACTTATACCAGTTGGAATATCACAACAAGTTCAAAATACAAGAGAACAACAGACGGGCGATCATTATATATTGAGAGATGAAGAAGGTTAGATTTTTTGTAATATATACATTTCATTTAATTCATTTTTATTAATAGGATCATCATCAAGTCAAGATGAAATTATCTATTGTTCTGATATTCCAGCTGATTCATGTGGTTGTTTGGATGATGATGATTTATGCGATAGTAGTATTGCAACATGTATTGATAGTGACCAAGATGGCGATTCTATTGATGAACAATTAGGTAGAATATTTTGCTAAGAGTTTTTCTTAACTTGTTTATTTTATTCTTTTTTTCAGACTATCAAAAAACTCTCTCATTAGCTACGAGACCAATTAGTACGATCAGTAATAATCAATTTGATCAAGTTGATTTAGATGAAGATGAAATCGAAGATGGTCAAAAAGAAATGCAAAGTTTATTGTAAATCATTTTATATTATATGTGTATATTTCATGACAAAGGTTTGTTTTAAAATTAAATATTGATGGAACACACAAACATATAAATAAAAAAATTGATACTAATTATGATAAAACATTGAAATAAATGAAAAGATAAAACATAAAATTAATATCACAGCAAAGAAGAGATAAAGTTGAACAGAAGGAACAGAAAAAAAAGAAAAAGAAAAAGAAAACAAATAAATGTAATAGAGATAAAGTTTTTGTTATGATTTTTGTTTTGAATAAGCATCTCTTCCTCGTTGTTCAATTTATAGTTTGTTTTTGGAATGTAAAAAAAGAAAATGTGTAAGAGATTCAATGAAACTTGAAAAAGAAGAAAACCCAAAGAAAAAGAAAAAAAGACGAAGAAGAAAAAGTTTTAGTTGTTTCACAGTTTTTAATTTTCATTTGTTGATTAATTTTGCTCGTTTATTTATATTTCCTGACACGATTATATCGTAAATATGGTCGACAAACACAACCAGCCATAAACATAACACATAGAATCAAAAGAATAACACTAATCAAATAGATATTATTGCTTGATTTGCTAATTTCTTTAGTTAACGATACAACACCGTCCACACTGGATATCTAAAATAGTTAGAATTATAAATTTTACATTCTTTCTTATAAACCAAAGGTATAATTCAATTAATAACAATTGTATGAAACAGTAAAACCTTCCTATGTGGCCACGTCCGCAAAGTGGTCGATTTAAAAAAAAGTCCGGTAGGTACTCTCGTCTAGCAGAGATTCGGAAGTAATTCTAAAATTCATTTGCATGTGACCTAGTTTTTTCTATAGAGTATATAAGCAGACACTGTCAAGAAGTATTACATTGTAAAAAGTCTAGGAATTATATTTCATGCTGTCAATATGCAATCAGAAGTCTTATTAGACATGCTACAATATGAATTGTAAGACGAGACAACGCCGATTGTAATACAATGGAATCAGTACTGAATTTTTTTCGAACTACTAAAAATATTTGACTAGGAGATGTGTACAATGAATTTTATATGATAGAGGACTTGCTTTTAGTTTCTGATTTGAAATAAATCAAACTTACTTCTCCCCATAATTCTTGTCGTTGTTTTAACATATTTTGACATTGAGTTGTAACTGATTTACCCATATTTATTAGACATTGTAATTGTTTACCACTTCCTAAATAAAAATATCTATTCATTAATATTATGTTTATCTTTGTTGATTAGTTTACCTATAGGAATATCATTACAATATTTTAAGATATCAGTTTGACATGCAAATGCTAATGCACGATCAACATGTATGTCAGCTCGTCCTTCTCTTATAATACGTTTAACTTGTTCTCTACAAGCATCATCATTAAGTTGACCTTTTTGATACAATAATTTCAAACAATCTTCTTTATCCATGCCAGTACATTTATTATCAAGTTGTTTTCGACAACTTTGATAAAGTTTAATATCCATTGTAACATCAAGTTTTGATGTTTGAATAACATCAATTAATTCTGTTACACATTGAGATTCTAATGTTGCTGTTGAATCAGCATATTTTGCCCGTAAACATCCAATAATTCGACCACCCATGTCACGATCAGTCACTTCACTATCACCACCTTTTGCATCATTGTTATCTAAAGAACTCATTGAATGAAAATCATAGATTACTGAATAAATTACCATCATTATCTTTATTGTTGGCATCATCATCATCGGAATCTTTATCATCGTCATCCTCATCAACAACTTCTGAACCACACCATTTTTCGATATCTTGTTTACAATTTTCAACTAAACCTCTGTTGAAACGAGCATCTAAAGATGAATTAAATTATACTTTTAAGTAAATAATTGACATATCAAATAGGCAAGTTTCTTCTATTCATTTTTCTCTGGTTGATTATTTCAGTATCCTGTATTGACTTTTTTTTATGAAGATCTGAATCGACAGTATTCTACTGTATGAGAAATACTTGCATCTTTCATTTAATAGAAAAAAAATGTCAATAGATCAGATATCGTTTCCTTCACTAAATACAGTTATAGTCATGCATAGGATCAAATTTTTATAAACCAATAATGTCTACCTGTTAAACCAATATTTATTAGAAAGTAACATAATCTGCTAAGTTCATCAGACTTTATTATAAAACTACTTGTTTTCATGTCTTACCAGTATTTAAAATCATTAAACGATGATATAAAACTCGTCGACATATATTTGGCATTTGATCTTGATTAGCATTACGTCGTAAACATGATAACATGTTTTGTTTCTTTTCATTTGAACAAAATTTCTACAACAACAAAAAACTTTTATCGTAGCAAAAACAAAAAAATTAATTTACTTGAATAACTGGAGCACATTTTGACACAAGACTAAAATCATTTTCTGGTAAAATAACATCAAGTTTTTGACGTTTTTTCAGTTTAGCATAACACATCGGTGAAACTTTAGCATGATTATCTTTTAAACAATCAAGAATCTATAGAAAAAAATATTTAGATAGAAAATTTTCGACAACAAAAAAAATTACTTCAGCATTTCCAGGTGTACGATCCGCACAAAATTTTTTGATATCTCCTTGACATGCTCTAGCTAATAATGGATCGAATTCAATACTTTCACTCTAAATTAAAAAATATTGTTTTGTTTTTTGTCAAGAAAAAATAATAAAACAAACTCGTTGAAGAAGTTCAAATTTGAGTTCATCACGACAAACTTCAGTTATTTGATTTTGTCCTTTTAAAACATCTTTTAACATTAAATCAGCAAGACATTGAATAACAGACGCTCTAAAATAATTAAATTTGTATTCTTAGAAAAGAAAAACAAAAGCAATTTCTTTTATATACTTCGTTTTTTTTCCTTTACAATGTTCTTCGACTTCTTGACGACATTTTTTTCGAAATTGTTGACTTAAAAATGCTTCATCCTTCATACTTGTCTAAATAAAAAAACATAATTCTCTTTTCTTCAATTATTTTTAACATACGATTTGATGATGATCAATACCAGCTTTACAACGATAATCCATTTTTTGTTCATTTTTATGTTTTATTAAACAACGTATTAAATCATTTTCATTTCCACCTTCGATATTCTATAGGATAAATTAATATGTATATATATGCATCGTTTTTCTTTTATTCTTACCGCACAGAATAATTGAATCATTGGTTCACATGCTTTCATAAGAAGAAAATCAAGAGTAGGATCGGACATTGTCATTTGAGTAAAATTTCGAACTGCTGCTTTACATTTTTCTTCAAGTTTAGCATATTTTTTTTGTAGACATTTCATTTCCTAGAAGGAATAATTTATTAGGGTTTCTTCTGTTAAGCGCTATGTTGATACAGAATAATTTGATAAACAATTAATTTTTGCAATCAAAAGAAGATAAACAAAAATTGGCCTAATCGAATAAATGATATTCAGTTTTATAGTTGTCATTAACCTTTTTGTTATGTATTTCTTTTGAATGGCAAAAAAAACATTTATGGTTTTGATTCAAATACTTATAATATAATGTATTGACATTTAATGGTACTATACAATGTTATATTGCTTGATTGAAGTATTTCGAATTCAGTAAGGTGCTACTATCAGAATAGACTTAGGGTAGACATATTCGAACAATTAACACGATCCCTAGGAATGATTTTTATATGGAAAAAAAACCGAGAATCAATATAAGTAAGATTTTCCATCATATAGGAAGACTCAAGGACTATTCTTCACTACAAATGACAGAATTCATTAGCTATCGATATTAATTTTTATGTGTTGAAAAGCAAATATCCTATTGTATCCCTGAGTTTCCTAGGAACAAAGTTCTTTATCTATCATTTACTAGTGAAGATTGAAAAAAAAACTTTTTCCCTGAATATTAAAACGCATGAAATTATTTGTAAGCATATAATAGATTCTATCAAAATTTACTTGTCATTCAAATATTTCCTCTTAATAAATGCTTTTTACTTACTTCTCCTTTAACTTCTGGATTTTTACATGTTGCTAAATCTTCTATACAATTATCTTCAATTTCAGGCATTAAACCAATCGCTTGTGATCGAATATGCATAAGGCGTTTTAATTCCGTACGACAATCTCTATCAAGCTAAAAAGAAACAGAATCAATTAAACGATCATATTTCCCCTAGATTTCTTTTACTTGTTGTCGTTGTTGATATAAACAACCTAAATACATTCCAATTTGATCATCTTTTAATTCATTTGTCATTGACCAATTTGTTGGAAGTTGACATAGATTTACAAGATTTGCTCGACATGTACGTAATAATTTTGGTGTTAGTCTATTATACATAAAAATTAAATCAAATGAATATTTTCTCTATCGATTACCTCCAATCTCGTGCCATAAAATATGTAACTTCCATTAAGCGATCTTCACATTCTTCTGTCATACGATTACTTTTAAGATTATCTAATAGACACATGATAATATTTGAATCACCAGGTTTTATCCTTGGACATAATGTATCAATAACTGGTCGACATGCTGTTTCAAGTAATGGATCAGCTCGTATATCACTACCTGGATCAACTGCACGTACTAATGATTTAACCACATTTAAACATGAACTACCAAAATCTTTTTGTTTTCGTGCACTATTCAATAAACAATGGATCATTCGTCCACCACGTTGATCAATCGAAGCACCAGCACCTTGTTGAAGTAATGATGGACAATATCTAATCATTTCAGTTTTACATTCGCTAACAATTTCTGGTGAAAGAGAATAATCCGACATTAACATACGACGATGAACAAGCATTTCACGTCGACAATCATCTTGGATATGTTCACCTTTTTTAAATTTATCTTCCAGACATAAAAGTAATTTGACGAGTGATGAACGTTTATCATTTTCATTAGGATCAACAGAACATTGATGTTGAATCATTTCACCCTTACAGGCTAAACAAAGAAAGAATAATTTTTTTTTATTCAATTGAAAATATTACCTCGAATTAATGGTGCATCTACTTGTACATTAGCAACAACTAACGATTGTCGACGTTGAACTTCTTTACGACACTAAAATAAATAATTCATATTATAAAAAAGAATATTTTGTTATTTTTCTTAATAATTTACAGCTGGTGACATCATAGTATTAAATTTTTGATCATATAAACAACGATAAACACGACCATTTCCACTTTGTACTTGAGAACATAACCGTTCACGATCATCACGACATGCATAGAATAAAGCACGATCAAGATGATAATCATCTGATTGCATTTCAGCTAAACGGAAGATTTCTTTTTTGCACGTTCCTTGTAACTGAGCATATTTTTGTGATAAACATGCAATAACAGCACCTTGTTCATGTGGAATCTAATAAAAAAAAGATTTTATTTTCCTACTTAACATATTAAATATACATACGGCTTTATTATCATCATCTAATCGTCCACATTCAAGTTTATTAATATCACTCATACATGCATCAACCATATATTCCGATAATTTCCAATCATTAAAAACAACTGCTTGCATTTGATTAATAAAATACCGACAAGATGGTTCAGTTATATTTCCCAAACGATCATATAAACATGATACAAGACGACCTGAACCACGTTTACCTACGAATTCTTCACATTCATCAAGTAATTTAATATCTTTCGAACATTGTCTTTGTGCTGCATCATCAAAACGTGGATCATGTGTCATATTATATTTAAAACTGTAGATATGCTAAATAAAAAATATTCAATTAATAAACAATATAATAAAAATGTTTTTCTACTTACATGTTGACAATCTTTACTTATCAGATTAACAGCCTATAATTTATTCAATAAATAAATATTTTCTTAATTTCATTCAAGAAAGAAAAACAACTTACATTATCAAGTTCATCAACACATTGTAATACTTTTAAATTTGTAATCATTTGTTTACTTCCTTTAGAACAATATCTTAGTACATCAGCCCGACATTCTTCACTATTAGCTATTGGTATTGGTGCTGATTTGCTAGATTGACCTGCTACTGGTAGTGGATTTAAATTTTGTTGTGGTTTACGAGCCGAATTTACTGATTGTTGTTGATTATCACTTCTTTGTAAGCTACGAACATTATTATCGTCATTGCTTGCAGAAATTCTCTTTCGAGGTTTTTCACTGTTAATTGATGATTGCTTTCGAGTATCTAAATCATTGTCATCGCCATCTTCATCATCATTTTCTTTATCAACATTAGGCACATTTCTCTGAGCTAAACTGCCAGTAAATAAGATAAATAAATAGAGTACAACTAATCGTCGAAGTAGCATTCTACTGCTTATCTAGAAATAATTTATTCTAAATTTTAAATATCAAAATAAAGAAAAAAAGACACGTAAAATATAAATATATGAATTATATAACTTTTTTTTATATGAAATGAAAAAAAGTAATAAATGAATGTTATATTATATTTGAGTACAAATAGGTAACGACGTAAATTTATCTATCTGTATATCTACAGGTACCTAATCCTTGTTTCTAATAAGTATAGTTTTTGTGATTGTTATTGTAAATTTCAATGTAGAGTGACTACCGTTTTTTGTAGTCTGGTTATTGCTCACTCATTCATGCAGAACGCTCTTTTATATGTGGCTCAAGCAGAAAAAAACGAGAAAAATCACGAAAAGAAAGAAAGAAAAAAGTGACATAAGAAGAGGAGTAGTCTCCTATTTCTCATGCTGAGTAACATAAACGCTTGTTAATAAACATCTACGCGTACAAAATACTACGCATGGTTGATAGAAATAAGAAAAAAAATGAAACAGAACAAGCTTTTTGTTTTTTTTCCTCGTCTTGTAAATAAAAGCCATTGTGTCGAATCAAAAACTAATATCTGGCAAATGGTTGTTGGTTAAAATATGAAGGCTCGATTTTTATTGTAAACATCATGTTTCTATATTTTCGTAGTGTAAAATGAAAATTTAAAATAGTCTATTAGTGCATCTTCCCATGAAAGATTCAAAGTAAAATTGCTTACTGTGCACCATTCTAATGAAGTAAAACGCCAAAGAAATAAGGCTTCAGTCAAAATTTTTTTGTTAAAAAGCATTTTACATCGTAAATAATAAATTCTCATTCTCTCAATGCCATGAATGTTGTTCCTTCTTAAAAAGCAATATACTCACTTCCAGATTTTACCCACAATATGTTGTCAAGTTCATTTACACGATTACTCATTCATATCAACGAATAACTTGATATAGATTACTGATTTATATAGTCTCAATAAAACAATACGGCTATAAATGATCACAATAAAAAAATGTCTAAAAACTATTCATTTCGTTTATACTTAATAAATACTATAATCGATAGAGGGCGCTTCTATATGATGATATAGACACAATCTCGCTTCATCTGCATATATAATGAAATAGAGTCGTCATCTTGTACTGATAATTTTTATAAAATCACCACTTAAGTATCTATTTAGTTTGAAGTATTTTATAATTGTACTAGAATTAAAATGCTTTTCATATAGACCATAATTAATTCTTGTAATATGCACGAGATAAGAGAACTTGAAACTATTACATATGCTTGATGCGATTTTTAGTTCTTATTTTTTTTCCTATTGAACAAATAAATGATAAAATCAAATTTTATTAATAATTCGTGTTTTATTGTTTGAACTTTTGCGATACAAATATTTCTAGACTCTTTCAATGATGTTTACCAATCACATATGTTACCCATTTATTTGTGTAATGCAAATCATATCTAGAAATATTATACAGTGAAACAGATTTTTTGACAATTAAATAACTGATGTGGTACCAACTGGGCTAATTTTTATTAGCATACTGTTTATGTAGATCAATACAGCAGTTATAATTAACATTTTGTTCTACAAAAACTGATTAGTTTATGTTAAATTGATTATTGCCGATAGAATTCAATTGTTTTTTATTTTAGTATCTTTTTAAAAAGATGAAAAACTGATCCAATATACTCTGACTTGCTTAACCTGTATCGGTATACATGGAAAGAATATTTTCGTTTATTACTAATCTACCCAGGGCGAAAAAATCGGACAGTCAGATCTTACATTTGATCACATGAAAATCGACGTCTCAGACATCTTACACTAAGTCTTATCAAAGGATTTATGTAAGATTCTGTTGTGTCATGAAATATCACAATAAATTTATAGTGGCTAGATAGAGTGCATGTAAGATCTTACATCAGATTTTTTGACGTGGGTTTTTTTAGAATCTATAAAAATACATATTTCATACTTGAATAATATCGTGTAGAATGATTCATTAAATTCGAAGTTACAATAACATAGACATCAAATGTCATTTTTTGTTTTTTTCTCAATCTTTCTTCTTTGAAATCTAACATTCATTATCAGTAAAATGATGGGCTGGAAAGTAGAATATAATAATATATGATCATCATTTCCGGGATATATTTTTCTTCTATATATCTATATATAGAAAAGATTTTCTCTATTGAAAAAATCTCTTGCGATTCTCTAATTAGTGACTAAAAGCAATAGTACACTCATGATATGATCCTTCTTTTTTCTCTCTCTCTTCTACGATGATGATCATTTATATTTCTTTAGACTGTTGGTAATCATCAATCATAGCGTTGTTTTATTTTTCGCATATAAATATATTTCGGAATGGAAAAACATTATTGCGTAGTTATTATTGGTGCAGGAATAGCTGGATTATCTTGCGCGAAATATTTAATTGAAAATGATATTCATGATTTTATTATCATTGAAGCAAATAATCAAATTGGTGGACGATGTGAAACTATACCACTAAGTATGTTTGTATATAAACTAATTTTTCAACCATTATTTCTCTATATATCATTGAGAATCGTAAGAAGTAATAATTAGTTACTCTTTAAATATAGTCTATAGAAAGGGTTAACCTTTTTTCTAAATGTTTCTCGATATATTTTACGCTTGAGTGAAGAAACGGATTATTATTCGATATTTCAAATTTTAGTGGAACATCAAATTGAATTAGGTACTGAAATACTACAAGGTGATCAATCAAACAATCCGTTATATCAATTAGCTGACGAACATCATTTAATCGATTATAGTAATAGTAAGTTATTTCAAAATAATTTTACATCTTGATGTTGTTTCATTTCTATATTATATCTACAAATTGATATATATCATGCAAAGATTATATATAATTATTTCTATCCAGGGTTTTTTCTATCTTTTTTGTAAATGTCAATGGTTATATGTGTTTTTTTGCTCTTTTTTTTGTTAAATAGATGAATCTGATCGAGATGATTGTTTTCATGATGAAGATGGTGAATCAATTGATGAAGATATTATAAACGAAATTCGAACAATTTATGATGAAATTTTAGAAAAAAAAGTTCCGACATATCCATATGAAAATTATCCTGATTCATCATTAGGAGAATTTATATCAACAGAATTAGATCAATATGTACAATCAAAAAAAGTCTCACTCGAAAAAAATGAAATTGATCAAATAGAAAAAGTTATTGATTGGCTTAGTAAACAACATTCTTACTTGAATACAATCGGTTGTGAGAAATTAACTGATGTTTCTGTTCAAGGTAAAATCAATACTGACTATTGTGTTCTATGTTATATAGTCGGATGCTAATTTGTATTAGTATTGCTTGAGAGATATAAATATTCGTATTTAGGATGGAATTCATTTGAACATATATCAAAACCTGATCAATCGAATGGTATTATTAAATATATTCAAGGTGGGTTTTCGAATTTGTTGCACATAGTCTTTGGTAATAAAATACCAAATGATAATATTGAACTGAATTCTATGGTTAAACGCATATGTATGTATGAAGATGACCAATATGTTAGTATAGAAATTATTGGCAAGAATAAGGAAATGAAAACATATCAAGCAGAACATGTTATTTGTACACAATCTGTTGGTTGTCTTAAAAAAACAATGCATGAAATGTTTGTACCACCATTACCATATTCGAAACAATTATGTATTGAAAAATTAGGTTTTGGTACAATTAATAAAGTTTGTTTTAATACTTGTTTTGCATTTAACAACATAATTCATATATTTATTAAAGATCTATCTTATTTTTTCTCATGCATTTTGGGATGTTGATTTTAATACATTTAATTTTTTATGGAATACAACTGCCGAATGGAAATTAACTTGTCTTGAAAATACATCTTATGATGTAAGTTAAATTTTTGTTTTTCTAGAAAATAACTTTTCTTTTTCCTCTTAAGAGTCAATGGTGTAAAAGTATTACAGGTTTTTATGTTCATCATCGTTTACCAAATATGCTTGTTACACAAATTGGTGGTGAAGCAGCTACATACATTGAAACAATTCCGGATGAAATATTAACCAATTGTTTTCAAGAATTATTCGGTCGATTTTATCCTGACAATCAAATACCTAAACCAAAGAAATTAATACGATCTCAATGGTTTAATAAAACATCTACGCATGGTTCACATACATTTATTAAAACAGGTTCGAATACACATGATATAAAACGATTAGCAATGCCATGGCCAAATCAACCGGCTAAACCATTAATTCTTTTTGCAGGTGAAGGTACACATGAAAGATTTTATGGTACAGCACATGGTGCTTTCATGACAGGTATCAGAGAAGCTAAACGAATTGTTGAATTATATAAAAAAGACTCTATAAATCAATAAAAAATTTATTCATATCATGATTTTGTGAGATATTGCAATCTAAGGTTACAGATGAATGCAAGTTGTATAACCATTACTTTTTTCAAATTAAATATATATCCCCATCACTGCACAGTTTGATTAAAAGAATTGTTGTTCAAAGGGATTTTCGATCGATTTATTTTCATCAATATTCTAAAAACTGAACTATAAATATGTCATTTGTCTATCAGTATTGAATATATGATCAATTTTGTATTGTCAGATTCCAAATCTCTTTTTTATATCAGTTGAGTTGTATGCAGAAAAAAGACTTCATCAATGAATTGACGCGATAATGGTTTGTTTTTTCAATACTACAACCAAAATTATGTATATGTTATCTTGTAAAACACATTTTGTCGTTTTACGAAATTTGATAAGAAAAATAAAATATTGATTTCTATCGTAACGATATATCCATCTATAATAAAAATTATAAATTGTTACAATTAAATAATTGGTATTATCAAAAGATCTTGATAAATTTTATGATAAACTTAATCTTTCAGTTGAAATATACTATGAGTACATTTAGCATTCTGAAGGTTACTGACGGTTGTTTCACGTTCGTTTGAATTAAATAATATTTTCTATAAATAGCAGAAATGAACGGAGTAGTCAAAAAGTCACGATCACCGTCTCATTTATTCAACAATGAAACTGTTCTGCGTTGCTTTGATTAAAGACTGTTTCAGAGACCATTTTTTTCTAAAAACTCTCAGTAGCTTTTCATAATTATTATTCTATATCCTGAGATGAAAAGACATAACGCAAACATAAAGTGACCCATCAAGAATAATACGGTGATAAGAATCTGAAATATCTCTACTGCTGTTCATTCAAACGAGGTCCTATCTTAGTTGCTAGTAAAATTTGACTCATAGCTTTTACTATTCGAATAATATAAATAATAATACTGTTAAATGTTTTAGTTAAGCTTAAAAAAGTAATTTTACTAGTTGTTATGTAAGAAAAATATATATAAAATATTATGTAGATAATTTTCAGTTGTCTGTTGACATATCGGAGATTACGTCCAATAAGTAGAACGCCTATCTGAAAGACTTTGGTTCAGACCAAACCTAATCGACCAGTCAGAATTCTTGATGTTTCTGATAGTAACAGGTCCTATGTTAATCCAACATGTTTCATGTATTAACATTAAAAGCAAATACAGGTTTCTCACAAAAAATTTTGACTAGGAACTCATCACAACTAATATTGAACAATATCTAATTATATTTTGACTAATCTCTTTCAATAACGATATAATTACTTTTCAATTCATAAATCTAATTTATTTTTCTTTAAAGTAATTATTTAAGACAGTTGAGAAAAATCTCAATTCATAGAGAGAATACTGCTACAGACAGATAAACAACATAAGCTGATATGTAAGACTTTCAAATTAGATTTCATAGTCAAGAAATGATATAAAAAGTTCAACGGGAACGTACAACAGTTTAAGAAGGCAAACAATAAACAACATACTCTCTGATTATGAATGCGTCGGATACTTGCTGTCATTAAATGCAATCAATTTGAAACTGTTCTATCGGTTAGAAATACTCCGACCGAGTATGCTAAACTATCCACTTAATGAAATCAACAATTCGACGGTAATCAGTGTTAGATATGATCTTTTAGTCAATTTTTCACACATCTATAATCACATCTTCAATCACTATTATACTTAATAAACTCTACGATAAACATTAGAAAAGCACCTGAAGTGCATTTTTTAATCGCATTATCTAATTTGTATGTTACTAAATACATCTTAAACAATTAAAAATAAACCCATGATAAACTCAAAAATCAGCAAAAAAAACGTTCTTTTTTATCTCACCTTTTTATCTCGCTGTCATTATTCCATTACCGAGTCTGTCTCAAACATGCTAGACACAAATATAACTAGCAATGACGATACACCATTATTTGATGTCGGTACACAGCAATCCTATGCAATACAGTTTTGGATATTTCTATTTTTACTGATTCCATCAATGATTTCTGCATTGTTTGCTTTATACCATCTCCTACGAGAACGAGCACTTCGTCAAGCACTTCACAATCATATTATAATCATTCTTCTTATTATTAATCTATTCTATCAGATGACAGATATGTGTTTTTTCATTCATTATTTTCGATCTTATCAATCTTTTATGCCAACACCTACTTTTCGTCTGTTTTGGGGATATATTGATTGGTCGATATATGGTGTTCAGTCTTTCCTTTATGCATGGGTCACAGTTGAAAGACATATTCTTATATTTCATGATCATTTGTTATCCACTAGAAAGAAGCGATTTTTTATTCATTATCTTCCTCCAGTTATAATTACAATCTATCCTTTATTGTATTATGCAATAGTACATTTTGTCCCAACATGTGAGAATACTTTTGACAATTTAACAACACCGGGTTTTTATCCTTGTGAATTTAGCGATGCAGTATTCGGCACGTATGAAATAGTAGCTGATGCAATAATACCTTGTTTCACAATTGTTATATCGAGTGTTGCTCTTTTGTTCCGTGCTGTATGGCAACGATATCATATGCATCGACAGATTCAATGGCGACAATATCGAAAAATGACACTTCAAGTCATAATTATATCAACAATTTATCTGATTTTACCGTTTCCTTATATGATGATAACCTTTCTTCATCTTTGTGGTATGCCAGCAGAGATTGGAGCTGAGTTTTTATCACGTACAATGTTTTTCACTTATTATACGTTGTTTCTTTTTCCAATAGTCTCCGTTGGTGCACTATCAGAACTGCGTGAAAAAGTGAAGAGTATTATACGATTTCGCAGACAACGACGTATAGTTGGTACGTTAAATAGTACAAGGGCACATATGACAAATAATCGAGTTTTTCTTCGATGAAGAGTATGGTTGCAATAAGAATATCTTACAAATCAAGCTGAACATTGATTTCAATTAATTTTATCATAAAAACTTTTCCGAGAATAAATGACTTTATTCATTGTACTCATCATGTTTTAATTAAAATACTATAAATAAAAAGCAAGCTCAACTATAATGTCGGTATATATAAAGAAAAAACACATCATTATTTTATAAATTTGTCGAGATAAAAGTAGAAAAAATCAATTATAAAGATGCGTTTCATCAAAGTCAACATTTCATTTGAATTATTTAATGACAGAACTATTGAGAAAATGAATATATTTAGCATCTGTCAGGCCTACTCAAGAAAAAGGTTAAGAGGCCTCTACACTTACAAAACGCAACTTTTTAGAAATAACTCGATACTTATTTTTCGGTATCGAGAGATGCACTGAAGTCATCCCTCCAAAATATATATAACTATCGTCTAAACAAGTATGTTATGAGGAACTTATTGAAGGTGTCAAAGGCTTCGATCGCACGTTTTTGAGCGTATTTTCTTGTTTTATGGTTTTCTAAAACTTTTCTTTCAATTTTAATTAGTATTTATGAAGGCAGTTTTTTTGCATCGTTTTTTGGGAGTTATCTAGTACTATGGATAAGAACTACACATCTCATTTTTGTAAACTGGTCTGAACGTACAAATGAAGCATATACTCTCAAATTCTCCTGAAACGAAATAAAAAGCTACATCTAAAACTTTTTCTGTGTTCCTTGAAATATGATTTTTCATCAGAAAGATTGTTACTGCTCTCGCTACGGTCTTAGACTACAACTAATGTTTTTTATAGTTGCTTGGTGGACTGAGAAAACTGGAATATACTACAATATGACCACCTTTTTTTCAGCTGATTTTGAAACCGTTCCACTAAAATAGTCATAAACATCAATGATATTGAATGGAAAAATCTTTTTCGAGAATAACTGCTTACTGATATTGCCTTTAATTTGAAACAAGTCCGAGCTTTATGTTTTGTATTGCCTGGGAACTATATTGACTCTCTTAAAAGCCAAAAGCGAGCCAAGAATCAGTTAGAAATTCGGTGGATTGCGACCTATAGAGCCAGAATCTTTACCAGAAGTATATCTCATAGAGATAATTTATCGTTGAAAAACCTCAGCTCAAAAGGACCATCCTATGTTGGAAATCGTTCGTGAGGGGAGGGGTGTTTAACCCTCCGGAGGTGCCCGTGGGTCCCAAAAGACCTACAGTAGTGTTTTTTGTTTTTTCTACTTTATGATCTATGCAATTCGAAGCGATCAATTCGTTAATCGTTAGTCTTCTAATGATGTATAAGAACCATATGAAATTTCTTGCAAAACTATCAGCAATCAAAAACTAGAGTGTATGTCCGTTTGGATTCCCTGACAACATTCGTGTTATATAGATGATTTTAATTCATGTGACGTATGTCCTCTATTGTTTCCAGTTCTATTTATTGTAGATTGGTTAATTTATTGCTGCTAATATAAGGAATTGTGTGTTTCTCTAACCTTGTCTATCGAGATATTCTCACCATCCTCTTAACTTCTGTTTATGATAATGGTAATCCCTTTTTTTGAATGATCAGCATCTTACGTATACTACAAGCGTATCAATGCATCAGTGATTGAAAAGGGATCATGATATAGACCTCAATCTATCTTATATAGTGCAATACAGATAAAAAGTCACGTTTTCCTTATGTATTTACATGTGAGTCCAGTTGGACTCATATACGTCGTTCGTGTCATAAAATACAGACACCTTCGGTCGGTTAAGAAGGCACACAACAAATAAAATACGCTCTGGTCATGAATGCTTCAGACAACTGCTGTCATTAAATACAATCAATTGGAGTGTTCTACCAGTTAGCAATCATCTGACCGAGTATGCGAAACTATTCATTTAACGAAATTAAGAATTCCAGGGTGAGCGGTGCTAGATCTGATCTTTCATTCACTGTTACACACGTCCACACCCTTCATCATTACTATCCTTAATAAAATTTATTATAAACAGTGGAGAAATCTCTTAAGCATATTTTTTCTTTGAATTATCTAATTTGTATGTTACTAAATATATCTCAAACAATTAAAAACAAATGCATGATAAACTTTAAAATCACCAAAAAAACATTCTATTTTATCTCACCATTTTCTCTTTCTATCATTATTACCTTACCAAGTCTTTATCTCAAACATTATCCTCTTATATCTCAAATATGTCAGACACAAATATGACTAGCGATGACGATACATCATTATTTGATATCGATACACAACAATTCTATGCATCACAGTTTTGGATATTTCTATTCTTAATTATCCCATCAATGATTTTTGCATTATTTGCTTTATATCATCTCTTACGAGATCGAGCTCTTCGTCAAGCTCTTCATAATCATATTATAATCATTCTTCTTATTATTAATCTATTTTATCAAATGACAGATGTGTATTTGGTTATTCACTATTTTCGATGCTATCAATCATTTATACCATCCCCTACTTTTCGTTTGATTTGGGGTTATATAGACTGGACATTTTGTACTCTTCAATATTTCCTTTATGCATGGGTGACAATTGAAAGACATATTCTTATCTTTCATGATCATTTGTTATCTACCAAAAAGAAGCGACTTTTCATTCATTATGTTCCTCCAGTTATACTTACAATCTACTGTCTGTTGTATTATGCAATAGTATTTTTTGTCCCACCATGTGAAAATACTTTCGATAATATAACGACAATAAGTTTGTATCCTTGTGAATTTTACAATGCAACATTTGGTACATATGAAATATTAGTTGACGGAATAATACCGTGTTTTACAATTGTTATATCAAGTGTTGCTCTTCTGTTCCGTGCTGTATGGCAACGATATCATATGCATCGACAGATTCAATGGCGACAATACCGAAAAATGACACTTCAAGTGATCATTATGTCAACAATTTATATGATTTTTCCGTTTCCTTATATGATCATAAACTTTCTTTATCTTTGTGGTATGCCACCTGATATTGGAGCTGAGTTTTTATCACACGCTATATTTTTCCCCTATTATACGTTGTTTCTTTTTCCAATAGTCTCTGTTGGTGCACTATCAGAACTACGCGAAAAATTGAAGAGTATTATACGATTTCATCGACAACGACACATTGTCGGTCCGTTGAAAAACACAAAGGTACACAGGGTAGATAATCCTGACTTTGTTCGATGAAGATTATGATTGCTGTAAGCATATCCGAGAACTCAATCCGAACCTCAATTTGAATCAATTATACAACAAAATCATATTTTAGAATAAATAACATCATTCATTTTATTCATCATATTTTAATTAAAATACTATTAATAAAAAGCAAGCTCAACTATAATGTCGGTAGATATAAAGAAAAACACATCATTTCTGAAAAAGATAAAAGAATAATTATTCAATAAATTTCTTGAGATAAAAGTAGATAAATTTAATTAAAAAGATGCGCTTCGTCAAAGTCAACACTAATTTTTTGGCATTGCAAGATGCTGCGAAGTCTCCTCTTCCAAAATATATGTAGCTTTCATATAAAGAAGTCAGCTGCAACTGATTTATTAACAATATGTAGAACTTCAGAAGCACGTTTCTCAACACACCTTTGCGTTTTTCGATATTCATAAGATTGGTTTTACTATATCAATTAATATTAATCAAGGCATATTCTACATAGTTTTTTGGGGCGCCAACTAGCACTCGCTATAAGAATTATGAATTTCACTTTTCTTCTGTGTTTTGAACCGAGAAATTACATATATTGTGCCAAAAGTATGCTTAAACTGCAGAGAAATTCATTTCTAAAATTATTTTTGTGTTTTTCTCAAAACATAGTTTTTCATCAGAAAAATTGTTACTCCATTCTCGAGTCATGAGCCATATAATTCTAGCAGATATGAATATTCAACATCCGAAATGAATAAATAATAATGTGAAATGGTTCATCCACATCTCTACTCATGTGGAGAAATGAAAGAAACATAGAGATATATAAATCACTTTATTTTTTAACTCTAAGAAGATATTCTAGCGGATATGAATTTTTTCTGGTAGAAATGAATCAATAATAATATGACATGATTCATTTATATCTCCATTCATAATGAGAATTGAGGCTTGAAAAAGAAGATTTGCATCTAATTGAAAATATCCATATCGTATTAAACTAAATGTTGAATGCATATATTTTCAAGTTTGTACCATTTCTCTTTGAAAAAAGAATGTTTCCTTGTATGAAATAGATGTCGTGTTGACTGTTTTCACTTCTCCTTAATGTCTTGCTTTTCTGGGATTGAAGCATTTCTCCTCAAAGTGGAACAATTTCCCGGTCGGTTTCTCCAGTAGTGCACCGCTATTAATCACTGCTATACTTAATAAAATCTATTATAAACAGTAGAGAAATCTTATAAGTGCATTTTTTGTTCGCATCATCTAATTTATATGGTACTGAATATATCTCAAAAAACAAAAAATATGCCTGATTAACTTTATAAGCTTTTAAAAAAGTTTTCATTTATCACACCATTTTCTCTTTCTATCATTATTACATTATCAAGTCGTTATCTCAAACATGTCTGACACAAATATAACTAGCAATGACGATACACCATTATTTGATATCGACACACAACAACTTTATGCAATACAGTTTTGGATATTCCTGTTTTTGATTATTCCATCAATGATTTTTCCATTATTTGCTTTATATCATCTCCTACGAGAACGAGCTCTTCGTCAAGCTCTTTATAATCATATTATAATCATTCTTCTTATTATTAATCTATTTTATCAGATGACGGATATGTGCTTGTTTATTCATTACTTTCGATCTTATCAATCTTTTATGCCAACACCTATCTTTCGTTTAATTTGGGGATATATTGATTGGTCGATATATACTCTTCAGTTTTTCCTTTATGCTTGGGTCACAGTTGAAAGACATATTCTTATCTTTCATGATCACTTGTTATCTACAAGAAAGAAGCGATTTTTTATTCATTATCTTCCTCCAGTTATAATTACAATCTACTGTCTATTGTATCATGCAGTAGTATTTTTTATCACACTATGTGAGAATGCTTTTGACAATATAGCAACACCGGGTTTTTATCCTTGTCAATTCAGCGATGCAGTATTCGGTACATATGAATTAGTAGCGCACGGAATAATACCTTGTTTCACAATTGTTATATCAAGTGTTGCTCTTCTGTTCCGTGCTGTATGGCAACGATATCATATGCATCGACAGATTCAATGGCGACAATACCGAAAAATGACACTTCAAGTGATCATTATGTCAACAATTTATATGATTTTTCCGTTTCCTTATATGATCATAAACTTTCTTCATGTTTGTGGTATGCCAGCAGAGATTGGAGCTGAGTTTTTATTACGTACAATGTTTTTCACTTATTATACTTTGTTCCTCTTTCCAATAGTCTCTATTGGAGCACTCCCAGAACTTCGCGAAAAAGTGAAGAATATTATACGATTTCGTCGACAACGCCGTATTGTTGGTACGTTAAATAACATAAGGGTACAGATGGTAAATAAACAAGTTTTTCTTCGATGAAGAGTATTGTTGCAATAAGCATATCCGAGAAATCAACATTTACGTCAGTTTCATTCAATTTTATCATAAAAACATTTTCTAGAATAAATGACTTTATTCATTGTATTCATCATATTTCAATTAAAATACTATGAATAGAAAGCAAGCTCAACTATAATGCCAGTAGATATAAAGAAAAACACGTTATCACTCGTGAAAAATAAAAGCAGCATTATGCTATGAATTTCTTTTGTTAAAAGTAGACAAACTCAATAGAAAAGATTCTTTTCATCAAAGTCTTAATTTCACTTGAATTACTGGATCATAGAAATGCGGAGAAAATGCATATATTCACTGGTTGTCATGCATATTCAAGGAAAATATAAACGACTCTTGTCTCAAACTCCATTTTTTAGAAAAAGTCAATACTAATTTTTTTGCATGGAAAGATAAATCAACGTTTTTCTTTCCAAAATATAGTATATACCTTTCCTCTAAAGAAATTAGTTATAATAAACACATCAAATATATTTAGGGTTCTACCAACACTTTTTTGAGTGTACCGTTGCAAGGCTGAGCTTTGAGCTCTGCTTGTCTCACACATTTACCCATACACCCACACACACTTATAACCTCGCATTCTGACGTACGTATTATAACATATAGAAAGTTCTGCACTGCTTCAAATTTGTTGAAGTTATTTTGGTTGATTGAACAGTACATCAGAAATCATTATAAGAATGAAAAAGCATTCTTTTTCTGGTTTTCCACTCAAAAGATAACCCGGATGAACTCGAAGGATTCAAAATTATATTTATCTATATTCTACGAAATCACGTATTTTGTTGCCTGATTCTCTATTATTGAATAACGATAAACGAAACGAACTTACACAAAAACAGAATTTCATAATTTCTATTCTATTCGAAGCCAATTGCCAAAAATCTAGAGTGATGATGTTCAATAAATAAATGAAACTATTGAAGAATCTTGTCATAGTGAACTAAAAAAACGTTCGCCTCTAAAATATTTCTCCATCCGTGACGAGTGACGTAAATCAGAAATAAATCGCCACTGATATGACATCCTGACATAGGATAACCTAAAAAATAGTATAATTTGAATGCAAATTCTTCATTTTTTCCATAAAACGACAGTATCATGCATAAGAATAAGATGATTATACAAGTAACCTATGCTTTATATTATATTCATACCGATAGATAGCATCCACTGCGAATAATATGTTCCGTCTAGCGTTTTCATTTTCATTCCGAATTGAAAATTATTAATAAAATATTTTGTTTCAACGACAAAAAATCCGAATCATAAAAATTCTTTCCACACAACTTTACGGATTAGATACATTTTTTTTATTCATCACACGTTACTCTCCATATAAATGACACGCATGTAAAATATGATCTTTTTTCATTCTTAAACTTATCCTCACCCTTCATTATGACTATTCTTAATAAAATCTATAATTAACATTAGAAAGCATCGGAAGTGCATTTTTTATTCGCATCATCTAATTCGCATGTTACTAAATATATTTCAAACAATTAAAAACAAATGCATGATAAACTTTAAAATCACCAAAAAAACATTCTATTTTATCTCACCATTTTTCCTTTCTATCATTATTCCATTACCGAGTCCCTATCTCAAACATGTCAGACACAAATATGACTAGCGATGACAATACATTACTATTTGATATTGATACGCAACAATACTATGCAATACAGTTCTGGATATTTCTATTCTTAATTATCCCATCAATGATTTTTGCATTATTTGCTTTATATCATCTCCTGCGAGAACGAGCTCTTCGTCAAGCTCTTCACAATCATATTATAATCATTCTTCTTATTATTAATCTATTTTATCAAATGACAGATATGTGCTTGTTTATTCATTACTTTCGATCTTATCAATATTTTATACCAAGTCCTATCTTTCGTTTAATCTGGGGTTATATAGATTGGTCAATATATACTCTTCAGATTTTCCTTTATGCATGGGTGACAATTGAAAGGCATATTCTTATATTTCACGATCATTTGTTATCCACTAGAAAGAAACGACTTTTCGTTCATTATCTTCCTCCAGTTATAATAATAATCTACTGTCTATTGTATTATGCAATAGTATTTTTTGTCTCACTATGTGAGAATAACTTTGACAATATAATAATACCGAGTGTTTATCCTTGTGCATTGAGCAGTACAGTATTCGGTACATATGACGCACTAGCTAACTATATATTGCCCTGTTTTACAATTATTATGTCGAGTGTTACTCTTTTACTACGTGCTGTTTGGCAACGATATCATATGCATCGACAGATTCAATGGCGACAATACCGAAAAATGACACTTCAAGTCATAATTATATCAACAATTTATTTAATGTTACCGTTTCCTTCTACGATTATAAACTTTCTTCATGTCTGTGGTATGTCAGCTGATATTGGAGCTGTGTTTTTATCACGTACAATGTTTTTCACATATTATACATTATTTCTTTTTCCAATAGTCTCTGTTGGTGCACTATCAGAACTACGTGAAAAAGTGAAGAATATTATACGATTTCGCCAACAACGACGTATTGGTGGTATATTAATTAACACAAGAGCACACATGACAGATAATCGAGTATTTCTTCGATGAAGATTATGAATGCTATATGCATATCCGAGAACTCAAGCTGAATATTAATTTCAATCCATTTTATCATGAACGCATTTTCTAGAATAAATGACATTATTCATTATACTAATCACATTTCAATTAAAATGCTATTTGTAGAAAGCAAGCTCAACTATAATGTCGGTAGATATAAAGAAAAACGCATCATTATTTTACAAATTTCTGGAGATAAAAGTAGAAAAAATCAATTAAAAAGATGCCTTTCATCAAAGTCAACATTTCATTTGAATTATTTAATAATATAATTGTTGAGAAATGAATATACGTAGTAGTTATCAGATCTATTTTCAACAAAAATGTTAACAAACATCAGTAAATTCTTTTTTGTATAAGATTATTAAATATTATTCATAGTAGTAAATATCATTTAAATACATTGCAGCGGGGAAGTTTTTATGATTTTCATCGATGACGAAGAAACAATTCATAATCTAACTAGTATAGTTTCTAATTAATCAGTTGTATATAAGAGACTGATGAACATATCTTACGGGATGATGGAATTTGTTTTAGATTCTAGCGACAAAAAATTTTGTTCTTGATGTATGGAACAGTTAATTTTGTTGTTTCAGATAAATCTTTTTTTATTTTTACTATTGACAAAGCATTTGAGAGTTATATAATCGTTCAATTTGAATTGTGACAAAAAATATAACATGGAAAACCATTCTCTCTGCATCAAGCATTAGTAAATAATTAAATATTCACAAGTCTATAACTATAAAATATAATTATCTTCTCATGTTAAATAACTGCTTTTTAAATATTTAAAATAAAATATTCAAATTAAGTATTATATATATTTTCCGAATTCAATGAGAGTATATTTCTTGAAGAAAACGGAAACAATCTATAGTTTTGATACATGTCTGACAAATAATTAATTTTCATATTTGTTTTCCCAGCTCCTTTATTACCCATCTCTCTTCATTGTTGCTTATTTATTAATTAGAAAACGAAATGTTACTTATTTTTATGTTCTGCATGAAATAATGATAATAACAAAAATTACATTTTCAATAAAAACATAAAAACATTGAGTCCGACCACGTTTCAATTTGTATTTTATTGATTAGCATCAAATGTATACCATTTGTCAATATATTGACAATATCAACCTTTAGATTGTACGACATCAGTTGATATTTTTTATGTAGCTTCGTTCGAGTACAATATTCTAAATATATCTTTTAAATTAGTTTCAATTATTAATGGTAAGATTTAGTGATAATGGAAATTGGGTATTCATTTTATTATTACAAAAAACTAAATTCAAAATAAATAAGATCTGAAAAAGATTCATATTAAAAAATAAGAGTTTTTAAAATAGAACAGGAACTATATTTAAGATTCATCAGTCTTAAATTATTCGTGTTAATGCCAATTTTGATAAACAACACGATGACCACCTATTTGGCGTACCGTATCCAAACTGTGCTTAGCCAATAGCCAATCTGTATTCATGTCAGTATCTGTCTGCATTTCTCTATTTGTCATGAGTGTAGTTAAAAAATTTACATATGCCACTTGTTCACGCATTGACTTTTTAATGATAGTTTCAGCACAAGTTTTCGTCCAACCAGTTAATGGATCATGACACCATGTTTTTGTTTCGATGATTTTGATAGCTCGTTTAGCTAGTAAATATTTGTTATTTGCAATTAAAAATGGATGTGGAATAATATTGACTGAATGTTGTTTGAATGCTTTATTAGCACAATGTTCACATAAATCACAGTTGACATTGTTGTTCTTGCAACGATATCGAACTCCTTTAAAATCGGTTTGCATACAATTGCCACATTTTGTATCGAAATGATTTAAATTGTTGGTGAGATGTAAAACCTCTTCGTTTGATATTTTCTTTGAAAATGTATATGCAGGATAGATTTTCCTCACCAATGGAAGACATTGTTTACAAACATCGAAACTATCATCTGCACAACATTGATCGCAAGTGTAAAATTCATCTTTTCCACCAACGATTACTTTTAGACAATGACTGCAATAGCCTAAAAATCGTGTCAGATAATCATGACTTTCAAAGATTGGTTTTGGGGTTATCTATATATAAAAAGAAAGATTTTTAGATATCAGCTAATCATGATAACAACTAATTCAACAAGTCAAAATTAACACTTGATGCTTCATGTGTTGTAAAACTATTTTTACCTTCGCACATGCACATTCTTCAACAAATTCTGGTTGACATTTTGATACCATTGCCATAGAAGACGATGGTCGTGATTTCACCGAATTCATTGAACGTGATGCCATCGAAGGCGCCGATGCTTGTGCTACCGATCCTGATGCCGTTGAGGGCATTGATGGTAATGTTACGGATCCTGATGGAGCTAATGTCGGTGATCCATATTGTACTGATGCTGCCGGCTTCCACGATGGTAATGCCATAGATCTCGATGGTGGAAACATCATAGAACCTGATCGTGATAATACTGCCGATCTTGATGGTGCTACTGTCAGTGAACCTGATTCTGATATTGTAATAGAAGGCAATGGTGGTAATGTCATAGATCCTGATGGTGGTAATATCGTCGATCCTGATTGTGCTAATATATAAGAAGGTGATGGAGGTAGTGTCATAGATCCTGATGGTGATACTGTTTCTGATCCCGATTGTGCTAATGTGACACAAGGCGATGGTGGTAATATTACCGATCCAGATCGTGCTAATGTCACATAAGGCGATGGTGGTAGTGTCATTGATCCTGATGGAGGTAATGCCATTGATCCCGATGGTGGTAATGCCATCATTCTATATTGTGCTGATGCCGCCGACCCGGAGTGTGCGAACGCTGCCGATCCTGAGTGTGCTGATGCTGCTGATCCAGAATGTGGTGATGTCGGCGATCCTGAATGCGGTGATGCCGCCGATCCTGAGTGTGCTGATCCAGAATGTGGTGATGTCGGCGATCCAGAATGCGGTGATGCCACCAATCCAGACTGTGGTGATATCGGCGATCCTGAATGTGGTGATGTCGCCGATTCTGAATGTGGCGATGTCACAGATCCCGATGGTGGAAATGTCACTGGCCCCGATTGTGAAAATGTCACCGATCTCCATTTTGGTAAATTTACTTTCATCGATCCTGATCGCGATAATTTCATCGATCCTGATGGTGGTAATTTCGCCAATCCTGTTGGTGGTGATGCCATCGGTCCTGTTGACGGTTGTATCGCC